TTTCTCTCTCACATCGATGTTCCTCTCCCTCCCTCCCTCTCTAAAAAAAGAAGAAAACTCAATAAATAAATAAATAAATAAAATAAAATCACCAGATTAAAAATGGGCCCATGTTCTGAACAGACAAGTCGACAAAGGTGTCCATACACACGCCCATACGCATGTGTATAGTGTGACCCCACGTAGCCAGCTGGCCCAGAGACGCACTCAGCACCGAACAAGACCCCACTCCATGTCTATCAGGACGACCGCATCCAGAGCCCAGGCAGCCGGGTGCCGGTAGTGAGGGGCCACGGGGGCTGTCCCCACTGGGCTGGGATGGCTGCAGCCACTGAGGAGGACAGTTTGGCGGCTTGTCACCGAGCAACCCAAAGTGCTCACCGAGCTACCAGGCTCATTTGAAAACCTGCACATAAAATCTGCATGGAGCGCTGGCTCTCTGACCGCTCAGGGGGGCTACCCTGAGGGTCTTGAAGGTGAACTCAACGGAATGGATGGGTGTGGCGATCAGAGAAGCGGAGCCCAGCTGGTGATGAAGAGGGTGAGCTGTTGACCGCTCGTTGCGGAGCTGAGCTGCACGCTCGGTGGAGGCAGCCAGACCTGCGTGACTCACTCAGGACAGTGCGGAACAGGCAGACCAGGGTGGGGCGGGGATGAGAGTAGGGGAACGAGCAGTGGTTGCCGCCAAGGGGCACCTCAGGGCGAAGGGGCATTGGTAGCTGTAAGGTGGGTAGAAAGCCAAAGACCTCAATGTATGCAAACTAACAACAGTGCAAATAAAACTCACCAGACTGCACACCTGAGATATTTGCATTTCACTGTAGACTACTCTCAAAAGTTTTTTTTTAATGTTTTTATTGATTTTTTTAGAGAGAGAGAGGAACATGGATGTGAGAAACATCCATCAGCTGCCTCCTGCACGCCCCCTGCTGGGGATCCAGCCCTTAACCCAGGCATGTGCCCTGACCGGGAATTGAACCAGGACCTCTCAGTCCATAGGACGATGTTCCATCCACTGGACCACACCTGCCAGGCTACTCTCAAAAGTTTTAAACACTGGGGTCCCTGAAGACTTTGTTGATGTTTATCTTTTTTATACAGAAGTTTAATTATAGTTCAGAAACAAGTGAAAAACTTTTTCGGAAGACAGTGACTCTGCGTAGACTGCAGTTATTGGGGTGCTGGTGCGTTAGGGCACCCCGCTTTCTCTCCTGAGACACGCCCACCTGCAGTCTGAGCAGAGGTGCGAGGTGCCCAGTGGCTGCATTGAGTCAGGAGAGGGCAAGCAGCTCCCGGGGCTGGCTCGGATCGCCGCGGGCTACAGGGCTGCCGCGTCCTGGCTGTCTCCTGCTCAGGGTTAAGGATGCACAGGAACTAGGCGTCATCAGGGCCTGTCAGACAGATGACACTCAGTGTGATCCCCTCCCAGGCAGCAAGCCCCGTTCCGTGTGCTGCTGGCCTGTTCCATCCACAGGGCCGGGTGTACCCGCCACAGCCCGCTGTCCCGAGGGCCCTTGCCTCTTAAACTGGAGGGTCTGTGACCACACAGGACAGACCAGTTAGGACCCTAGCACACACTGTCGCAGGGCTGGGGCCCCGCTCCACGCCTTGCCTGGGGGCCGCGCAGGGCCTGGTGAGCCCGGAGCTGTCGGAGGACAGACCCCACCGCTACTCAGGAACCAGGCAGCGATGAGGGTCCCATTCCCCTGAACCCCCAGGAGTGTGGCAGACAGCGCCACGGTGCCCTGACCGGGAGGACAGCGCCCCACGGTGCTCTTTCCGGAACACTCCTCAAGGAGCAGCAGCTGAGAGGACTCGGGTGTCCTGCGGGTGGCACTCAGGGTGAGGGCTCCAGATCTTGGGGCCTTGTGCCTGCAGCACAGCCCCGGGATGGCACCTGCAGGGCACAGGGCTGCGGGGCTGAGCTGCCACAAGCTCCGCAGGGTGCCGGGCGCAGGGCTGCAGGGCCGAGCTCACCACCTTCCTGGGCCCAGCCGCGTGGGTCACCAGGGGTCTGTCCAGGAGCTTGTGGAAAGCTGAGCCGTGGTGCCAGGGAAGGGGTGCCCTCGAACAGTGCCTGCTCTTACAGGTGAGCTACTGCCAGGCTGGGCCAGGGGGTGGGCGTCCTGCTGCTGCGCCCGGGTGGGGAGGGCAGTAAGAGGAAGGCCACACAGTGAGCACGGCTGCTGTCAGAACCGACCCCCACCGCAGGAGAGCCTCCCCCACGGCCCCAGCAGCCCCCTCCCGGCAGTGCAGGGTGCTGCCTCCCAGCTGCTCTCTGGCTCCTGTGGCCACAGCCCTCCACCCTCCCCACCCAGACGCCCCTACATCCCACTGATCCTCTGCCTCACCCCTGGCCACCGCCCAGCCACGCTCGAGCCCATGGCTGGACAAAACCCAGATGGCAGCGTGTGTGTGCCCCAGCCTTACTCCTGAACCCAGGACACGCAGTCGGTCCCCCGGAGCTGGGACTCCCCACCCCCGTGCCCTCACTGTGGCCCCTGTGGGGAAGGGGGTGGCTGCAGCCGGAACATCTGCCTGACCCTCAGCACAGGATGCCCTCCATGCTGGGCCTCGGTGCAGGGGGTCTTCTGCCCCTGGCCCCCCAGTCCTCGGTGGGAGAGCGTGTCCCCTAGACCCTGGAGTCACAGGCACACGGTTGGCAAAGGCCTTGGGTTCGGCAAGGACCACCTGCCGGCACCTGACTCGTCTCACTGGGAACGGGCTCTGATTTGTTGGGGGTGGGGGGCTTTTCAAGCTTCTTCATTCTGGGTTCCCCAAACTGTGGAGGTCCCAGGCCCATCATGACCTCACTGTAGGGAAAGCCCTCTCAAAGGGGACGCACTAGGTGAGCACCATGCCCACCAGCCTGACCCAGGGCGGCACCAGGGTGGCACCAGGGCTGAGCACGAGGCAGGCCGAGCACCCTGTGCCCTCGTCAGGACCAGAACACACACCCAGAAGTGTGAGTCTGCCCAGGGGGACCATCCCCCGGACGCTCCCTCTCCCTGGGGCCCCAACCCAGCCCACCTCACTCCACCCCTCACAAAGCCAGCCCTACCCCAGGGGTGTCTGAGCTGAGGCTCAGGGCCAGGAGTCATCCAGAACACCCAGGGCCTCCCCAAGTGAGGCACCGGGAGCCCCAGGGACATGCCCCTCTCGGCTGGTCAGCCAGGGGTGTGGACAAGCCCTTGGCCCACTCTGCAGTGTCTGGTTCCTCCGGGGTGTGTTCCCGCTGAGCAGGGCACATCCTGTTGCCCCCCAGGTTATCAGCCTGGCTGACCTAGCCCTTAGAGCCGATGGCCTTGGGATGGGGGGGACTTCGTCCACAAGCCAAGGCCCCACCCACAAGGCCCACCAGACGAATTCGGAGTCCCCCTGGGGGACTACCTGGACCAGCGGCACAGGGGACCCAGCTCAGGCTGCCCCTCCCACACCTGCTGTCCCCAGACCCCTTCTTGCTCACCCTGCAGCTGTGGGGTACCTACACCCTGGAGAACAAGCACATGCTTGTGCCACGGCGAACACCGTCCTCCAGGTGCACAGACGTGACCCACGTGTGCAGGGCTGAGTGCCCGGGCCACAGAGAGGGCCGACTGAGCCGGGGAAGTGCCCTCCACTGAGGCGGCAGGAATGGGCTGAGCCCTCTGCCAGCCTCCCCGTCGATGGCACTGCCCATGGCACTGCGGGGCACAGGCAGGGCCCCAGGTGTGCACACATCAGCAGCCCACTCAAGGCGCCTTGGGTGACAGGTGGGGGCTCTATTAGCCTGACACACGTGCCCACACCTGGGCCTCCTGATGCTGCCCCTGGGAGGGTGGCAGGAGTCCCTGTCCCGGCCCCAGCAGGCCACACCGCTCCAGCACCTTCAGGCCTCGACGGCAGAGCTCCGAAGGCTGGTGACCTTCCCTCTCCCAGGTGGGCCCAAGCACAGGGTCCCCTCCTGATCCACCCTCTTCGGGAAATAAATAGTGGGGAGAGCCCCCAGGTCCCCGCCCATCTCTCCTGCTCTGAGATTCGGAAGACCAGCTGGGGCTTGGCATCAGGGCGGATGCGGCAGACCATGGGGCCAGCAGCCTGGAGGGTTATTCCGTGTCAGGCCAGGACAGCCACACAGGGAGCCATGAGGACATCACAGGGCACACCCGGCATGGGCCATGTGGCCGGGAGCAGCAGCTCACCCAGCCTGCTTGTCCCAGCAGGACCTGGAGTCCCCACGGTACCCCTGCCCTGGAGCGAGCAGCTCCAGCACCCAGACGCTCCCCAGCGGACGGGCCGGCCCTCCCACCCAGCCTGAGTGCCCAGCTGTCCCCAAGGCTGAGAAGTGGCCTTTGCGGGGGCACCAGAGGCTGTGTCTGGCCTGCCTGTCCCCAGCAGTAAGCCAGCTCTGGGGACTGGCTGTAGCCGGTGACGGCATTCCCTCCCAGTGAGCCCAGACTGCGGGCAGGTGGCCCACGACGAGCCGCTATACTGGGTCCCTTCAACACTCACTGGGGCCACCCTGGGCCCAGCGACTGTCCCGCCCAGCCCCATGAAGACCAAGCCTTGGGGCGCAAGACACTCCTCCTGCCCCGAGGCCTCAAACATCCCTGCCACAGAGAAGCTACAGACTTGGGGGTCTCCAGAGATGAGGGTAACAAAGCCTGGTGGCCGAGACCTCGGCCCGCCAGCAGCATGCCTTGGAGGGCAGGGGCGCCCTGAGCCTGACCCCAGCCTGAATGAGCCCAGTGGTCCTGGGAGCAAAGAGCCACCCCAGTGTGTGTGTGGGGGGGGGGGTGGGCAGGCATCCAGACCCACTGTCACAGAGAGGGCAGGAGGGTTGACTAGACTTAGGCCCTGACTGCCACCTGGCACGGACGGGGCAGGGCAACTGTCTTTCAGGGTCCCAAAGCTCAGGACCTGGGAACCCACCTGCGGGAGGGGGGGAGGGGGCTCCGAGGTGATGGACACCAGCCCCATCTGGTTTCAGCATTCCCTAACAAGGCGCCCCCTTCCAGGGCCCTTGCTCTCAGCTCCCCGCACTTCGCTAGTTCAGGTTCCATGAAGCGTTTTGTCAAAACCTTAAACCGTGTGACCAGCCTGTGCTTGCAGCACGAGGAGCCCGGAGCAGCAGAGGGACCGCTGGCGGGAAGACGCCGAGGTCCCCCCACACGAGAGGCCGCACACATCACAGCTGCCCAGCCTCAGCCACACGCCAGGATCAAGACCATCAAATAATTTACTGCAATTGAACCTGCACCCAGTGGGCCGGGACGGGGCTGCGAAGAGGCTTGGCAGGCGGGCCAGTGGCCTCGGTTCATGACAGTCTGTGCAAAGCGTCCTGGGAGGCCCACGATCGCTCTGTCCACCGACCCTGGGCTGGCTGGGCTCTGGCGGCACTTCCTTCCTTCCTTCCCCTCCTCCCAGCGTCCGGCACCTCCAGGGCTGCGCCTGTGCAGGGCGGGCACGCAGGGCCCGCAGGGGCGTCAGGAGAGCAGGCACTTGCAGCTCATGCAGCCCGGGCCGCCCTCGTCCGGCGGGCTCAGCTTGCGCACCTTGTGCTGCCGGATCTCGCGCACCAGTGTGTAAAACGCGTCCTCCACGCCCTGGGGAGAAGGGGCTGCTCAGAGGGGGCCTCGGCCTGAAGGCCCAGCAGGGGAGGAGACCTGGAGACCTAGGGACCCCTGACTTGAGCTCCAGCAGAATCCCAGCCCCTTCTCCACCTGCACCCCCAAACAAGGAGCCGTGCCCTACTCCTCTTGCTGCCCCAGGGGCCCCCCCATCAGACACCAGCTCCCCACAGGGGAGAGCAGCCCTAGGACTGGCTCCAAGCTTGACCCATCCTATGTCAGCTCTGAGCTACTGCCCTTGTCCCCAACAGTCTGCTAAGGGATCAGGGCACTCTGGGGGCAGAGGGGTTGGGGCCCTAGGGTCACCGCTCCGGCCTGGCTCAAGACAGCTCTCTCCAGGGACCTCCAACTCCACCTTCCCCAAGAGCTGTTCCAGTCCTGACCCCGGCCCTGGCCTCCCTCGCTGCCCTGCCGTCCCGGGAGACTTACAGCGAGAGGGGCCGCTGGGTCACGGGGTTCCCGGAGGGTCCCAGAGGGTCCCGGAGCTGGAGCCAGAGCCAGAGCGGCTGCCCTGTGTTGAGGGAGAGGGGCAATGAGCAAGGATCCCTGGCGGGGTGGGGCCCTGGCTAGCTGTGGGCGGGGAGCTGGCTCACCTGACGCGTCTTGGCCGAAGTCTCAATGTAAGGGATGCCATAGCTGCGGGCAAGGTCCTGCGCCTGCCGAGACTCCACAGTGCGTGCAGCCAGGTCACACTTGTTCCCTACCAGCACCATGGGTACGTCATCCGAGTCCTTCACCCGCTTGATCTGCTCCCTGCAAGGAGGAAGGTGTAAGCTGGCTGGCAGGCTGCAGGCATGGCTGCATCCAGGCACACCAAGTGAAAACGGGGAGGCCTCCAGGAGTGGTGGGTAGCTCACCGGTACTGGTGAATGTCCTCAAAAGACTTGGTGTTGTTGATGGCGAACACACAGAGAAAGCCCTCCCCAGTGCGCATGTACTGGTCCCGCATGGCGCTGTACTCCTCCTGGCCTGCTGTGTCCAAGATGTCCAGCAGACATGTCTCCCCGTCAATGACCACTTGCTTCCGGTAGGAATCCTGTGGGAGGACACTGCTCAGAGACCCCCAACCTCTGGGAACGGGGCGTCGGCACCACCAACCCCTCCCCGCACCTCCTGTGCTCCCCAGGTCCTCCGTCAAGGGGACCCCTCCTGCAGAGCAAGCAGAGAACAAGCCACCTGAGGCTGTGGGGTTGGGGTGAGGAGCCAGCCTGCTCACCTCGATGGTGGGGTCATACTCGTCCACAAAGTGGTTCTGGATGAGCTGGATAGTCAGGGCGCTCTTCCCCACACCTCCAGCACCCACCACCACCAGCTTATACTCCGTCATCGCTCCGCACGGGGCTGCAGCACGAGGCACTGTGGTGGTCTCCTGTCCCACCTGTAGGGGAAGTGCCATCAGCCATGCCCAGGCCCCACAAGGCAGACCTGTTGAGCTCTGGGCCCCAACACCTAGCTAACAGGGGTGGCCCCTAGAATGCTGGCCCACCGCCCCCACCTGTGGCACCTCCAGCTCAGGAGTGGGAGAGGGGTGCCGCCTCCAGCTGCACTTAGTCTAACTGTGAAAGAGGCAGGAAGCTGGCCCCCCAAAGGCAGGGCTGACAGCTGAGAGCATCTCCCTACCACGCACCCGAATTAGAACTTGCTGGGTAGGCAGAAAGCCGCAACTGGAGGTGCCTGGGGCTGAGGTTACAGTGCCCTCTCCCTACAAGAACAGGTCCTGCCACGGTGGAACGCACAGCAACGTGCCCAGGCAGGCCAGTGCCAACCCGCAACCGGTTCTGGGCCCCACTGGGCATGTGGGTGCATTCGACAAGTACTACTGAGCGCCTACTACATGCCAGGAGCTGTTCCAGGCCAGTGACAGCAGAGAAAGAGCCCAGCCCCCCGCCCTGGTGGGCTCAGCTCAGAGGAGACCCACACAGAAAAAGGGGGAACAGGCGGTGTCCTTCGCAACGGGAACTTTGGAGAAAACAAGGCAGGTAAGGAAGCCGGGTGGGGCAAGGGTTCCGGGGAAGCACAGGTTAACCAACAAGAAAAGACCAAAGGAGATGTGGGAGCAGAGAGACAGGTGGGAATGAAAAAGGGCCTGAGGACAAGGCCCCAGCTAGGGTGTCTCCAATTCCCGATGCTGAATGAGGTGGTGCCCTTGTGGGGACAGTGGACTTGCCAGCCCTCGGACTGACCCGCTGCGCCCGAGCTCTTCGGCAGGATCCTTGGGCTGTGGCGGTGGGAGACCCCGCCTGGAGCGCGGCCACAGGCGGGCCTCGGCGCAGGGGGCACCACACCACTGAGGGCCCCGCGGGCCCCCAGGAGGACGGAGCCCGGGACACGGAGCCCGGAGCTGACCAGGGCGCGGCACACCCAGCGCCCGGCGCCCGCAGCCCCCGGCCCCAGCCGCAGCGCCCCGCCCGCGGCTCACCTGCGCCCCCGCGCGCCCTGCGAGGACGGCAGCTCCCCGCCCCGGGCCGCTCGGCCCTACCGCCCGACTCCGGCGCCCCCGCCCGCCGAGGCGCCCCCCGCCGTACTCACCGCTCACTGGCGCGACTGCCCCCGGGGCCGGAGCGGGCGGGGGCGGGGACCGGGGAGCGCGACTCCTCCGGCGCATGGGCTCCGTCCGCGGCGGGTGCGGCTCCAGCTGCGGACGGCGGACGCGAGCGCGGGCGGCGGACACTCTCCCGGGCCCGCGCACGCGCCGCCCCGCGCCCGTCCATTAGCCCGGCGCGGCAGGTCATTGGTCGTGATCTCAGGAGCCCGCCTCCAGCCCCGCCCAGCCCCGCTCCGGTTGGCCTAGAGGCCCGCCCCTCAGGGGCCGCGGCGGGCGGGGCTTCCGGGAGCGGAAGGCGCGGAGGGCGGTGCCGGGTTGGTTGGCCCTCGTGGGCCGCGGCCTGGACAGGGGGCTGTTGCCGCTGGCGCGGGAGGAGGGCGTCGCGCTGGGCCGAGGGTTCCGGGGCGACAGCTTCTCCAGGGAAGACCCGGACCCCCGGGAACAGGGCGGACTCCCGGAGAGTTAGAGACTGTGCGGGGAGGCGAGGCGGTGGCCGGGTGTGGTCTGGGGTGGGGTCGCCGGGGCCCCGCTCGAGGCCCCTGAGCGGCCACGGGAGCTCCGCGCCGCGCCCTCCGAGGTCTTCCCCGCGCTGTGCAGTCCACCGAGGGGCCCCGAGTGGAAAACAGTGCTCAGGAAGGGCGGAGCCCGCAGGGTCAGCACCGTGGGCGCCCCCCAGGATTCTGGCTGGAGAAGGTGGAGGGGCAGCCAGAGCGAGGGTCGGGTGCTGGAAGCCGACCCGGGCCGCGCCAGGAGCCTGAGACCCTCAGTGGCGGGGGGCTCGGCTGTCCTGCACCCCCTTTCCCGCAGGTGGCTCGGGGACGGCCGCCTACCCCCTCCTAGGACGCTTGGCAGTTTCGGCGCGGACCTTAGATGGGACACGGCCGTGCACCCAGGCGCAGGCAGTGCAGGAGCGCCGGGTCTGAGCCCGCGAAGGAGCGAGTCGGCCCGGTACTCACGGGGATCTTGCTTCTCACGTAGCGCGCATTCCCGCACCCCCTACCCACCAACCTCCCCCAACTTGGGCAGGCCCTACAGTCTGCTGGCCTGCCCAGCCCCCCCAAACCCAGAAGTCCAGCACCCCAGAAGCTCACCGTGTGGCCCAGTGAACAAACGGTGCCCCACAAATCCAATCCGAAAGTTGCCATAGGGGTGTGAACGAAGTCTCCCCCCAGCCAAAGCACAAAAGTGTACAAACTGGTTCCTTCCAGGACTCTCAAAAAGACATGTTGCCAACATTTTTATTTCAAAGTAACGCCTAGACACCCTCTCTGTTCACCATATTCACAAAGCAGGATTGTGCAGTACACTTTTCAGGCTCAACTGCACCCGGCTCCCGCGCCACCGGCCCCCTCCCCTGAGCTCACCCCCTGCAGGCCTTGACCCTGGGGGGCCGCCCCGCGCTCCCCCACGGCGTGGACCCCAGGTGCGGTGGCGTCAGGCGGGGGCTCCCGCGCACTGTGCCGCGGCTGACAGATCCCGGATCCTGGATCGAGCCTGATGCGCGTCTTAAGGGCGGATAAGTGAAAGCCGGTGGTGCGTCCCTTGTGGGCGAAGATCTGGCCTTCCCTCCAGGCAATTCAGGTCTTCTTGTCCCTTGTGGGGAGGGGGCGGTCCCTTCCCACAGCCCCACAGCGCTTCCTTTTGTCCTGGAGGTAAATCCCGCCCTCAGGACCATTCTCAAGGGCGCCTCACACTTTGGGAATGTGGGCTGGAGTTTCCACCACAGATCACCTTTGCTGGGGGCTGACACTTGGCAGGTCTGCGCCGCACCCCTTACCTCCACTTCAGCCCAAGGGGCGCCCACGCACGCTGTACCTACCAGGGGCCACGCCCCTGCCCACGCCCAGCTGGCCTACCATAGCAACTGTTACTAGGGGTGTGGCTGCCCCCACAGAGCCAGGGTGATTCCACGGCTCATGAATATTTGATTATTCAAATGAGGTACTGCCCCTGTTGCCATGGTGCCCAGGTTCTGCAACCCCTGCGGCCCCGGAAGAACAACTCAGAATCGGAGAGAGCGTCTGGCGGCGGAGGGTGCCCAGGGCCGAGCCCGCGGGGCCCTGGCACTGGGGCGGAGCCCTCAGGTGAGAGCAGGCCTTTGGGTCCTGGGCCTCAAGGCTTTGCGATCTCCCTGATGCCAGAGGGGAAACTGAGGCCGAGGGGCGGGCGTGAGGATTAAGCAGTAAAGCCAGTGGGAAACTCAATGATGCCCCCAGGTGTCAAATCTGGTCCCCTGGGTACCCTGCCTGCGGCCCCTCGCTTGGAGAGCCTCCCAGTCTCTGAGATAGGAGGGGCCCCAAGCCCTGCCTCTGGAGGGGGAGACCCAGGATGCAGGGAGCAGGCTCTGTGGGGTTCTCTATGCGGGGGACTTATTGGGGAGTAGACCCTGGCTTTAGAGCCTCTCCCTTTGTGGTGAAGGATGGAGAAGTCAAGAGGACCCAAAGAGCTGATCCCCTCCAGGAGCTGGCACTAGCCTGGCCTGAGGAGACAGAGAGACCCCCAGGTTTCCAGCTTGGGGGTCTCACGTAGTGGCAGGGCAGGGTGGAAACAGGGCCATGAACAGTATGGACAGGTTTGGGCCAGGACATGAATGTGTGGGGACAGTGTCTAGATGGGTACCAAAGCCTTCAACCCAGGCCTGGCTCCTTGGACCCCAAGACCTTTGGGCCAGACTGGACAGATCCTCTGGGCCTAGTCGAGAGCGGGACCTGCAGCCAGATGCTCTGAGGCACAGAGGGAAGAGGGTGGTGGGCTCCTCCCTTAGTGCTGTCTGTGAGCACCCCAGTAACAGACCCTGGCCAGCCCATGGCTTCCCCTGAGGCTGGCAAGGGTGGCAGCATCTTCCCAGGGGGCAGGGTGGTAGTGTTCTCCTGCAAGGCTTGGGCGTTTCCCCGCTGGAGAAGGGGGCAGGAGGCCCAGGGAACTTTTGGAAAGAAACCCTGGCCAGAAGCTCCGTGAGACTGTCGAGGGGCTCACCTGCATGGCCTCAACCTCCATGGGTCCTCCCTGTGTGGGGTCACTTTCTAAATGAGGTCCCTGAGGCAAAGCTTGCCTTAGGGCCCAGCATTCCGACCACCTGTCAAAACCCAGCGGACCTCTTCCCGGGCCAGGGTGGGGGTCTGTGGACATGATGATGAAAATGAATCTTGAATGTCCACAAGGGGCTGACAGGCATGTATGGTGGATCGTGAGTTCCTAGGGCCAGTATCTGAGAGCCCCTCTGTGTGCACTGTGGGCTGGGCAGGCCAGCATCCTGCCCACAGAGAGCCCGCCTTGGGGCAAGGTCCTCCCTCAACCCACTAAGGGCTAAAGCAGAGGGTTGTAGACTGGTCAGTATCGTTATGAAGGTCAATGCAGGAAGCATGGGAGGGCGCACAGGAGTGGGGACGTGGGGGGATCAAGGAGGCTCCACCCAAGATGGAGGGGGATGGCCAGGACATTCCACGCACAGGCTTCTGCGTCTTTAAGGAGCAAAGCCAGGTGAGCCTGGTGCAGGTGGTCCCAGAACACACTGGACAACCGCCCCTAGGACTTGGGGTGGGGGGCATGCAGGAGGGACAGGGTGCTGCGGAGGCTAGCCCACAGGAGATGGTCCAGGCCAGAAGGCCCAGGATCCCTTTTGAAGAGAGGGTGGAGTCAAGGTAGAGAACATGGGGAGCTGAGTGAGGACCAGGCAGTAGCCTTGGAAGGACCCCAGCACCGCACCCCCCGGCTGTCTTCCTCATCAGCCAGGCCAGGTCTCCCAGCAGGATGGTGGAAAGGACCCAGGCTGACAGCCCCTACTTCTGCTCCTGCTTGCTCCTGGGTCCTGTGGCCTGGGCCCGGCCTGGCCAGGTCCCCTGGGCCAGGGCCTGGCCAGCCCTACTCTCTCTTGCAGGTGCCGCCTGGGGCCACATGCCACCCCCTTGCCCGGATGTTTGACCCACAGTGGGAGAAGGCTCCTGCCTCCAGGTCAGGGGGCTCAGGGGGCACAGGGGTGGGGTGGGGGATATGCCTGAGACCCTGGTCCTGGTGGAGAAAGAATAGCCTGAGGCAGCAGCTTGCTGGCCACAGCAGGCAGCCTGGAGCCCGCTCCCCTCACATGGACCCTGCAGGAACACAGGGAAGGCGACCTGTCCAGGCAGGCGGTGTGAGCCAGGGCTGAGAGAGGGGACAGCGAGGTCCCTAGGCAGGCTGAGCCGATGAGTGCACCACTGAGCCTTCTCTGGGCCTGGGGCTGTGTGTGGGGCTGTGTTGAGGGCTCTGCAGATCAGCCCTCTGCCGGTCCTAGCAGGTTGCATGTGAATGGACCAGGCCTGGGACAGAGCCCATGGGCCTCAGCCGAGCGTGGCCAGTGTCCAAGTGCGGGAGCTGAGCTGGCAGGGCCTGCACAACCCCTGTCCACAGAGCAAGGACACGGGCAGCCATGGGGAGAGCCACGTCAAGCAGCTGGTGGAGGAGTATCTGTCACCTGCCCGACTGGTGAGTGCTGGGGGCCAGGGGCTCAGGCTGCGGGGCCTGCAGGGGTGATACTGGGGCTGGTGTCCAGCCTGCCCTCCGTCCCTGGCCCTGCTGGCCTTGCCTGTTTGATGGATGTGTCCCCTGTGTCTGCATCAGCCTTGGGGCCAACTCCAGGTGCTTGGTGACACAGATGTCCCTCAGGCATTCAGGCCACTAGAGGGGCTGAGCCAGGTAGGAATCCCACAGTATTTGCTGAGCACCCTCTGTGCCCTGGGCTCTCAGGACGAACCCAAGAGGGCGCCCCTCATCAAGGAGCGGACATTCTGCTGGGAGACAGGGAGATAAATCTTCCAGGCACAAAGTACAAAGAATAAATGAAACTAGGAGCTTCTAGGGCCCCACTGATCATCTCCAGGGAAGCTGCTAAAGACTTTGCCCCAAATCTGGGGGGGTTGCTGTCACCTCCCCCCTCAGACCACCAGGTTCTACAGAGCCCTCTGACTGCAGGTCCACACCAAGATGCCCCTAGGAAACCTTGAACCTCCTAGCCTCCCCTACCTCCCTTCCTGGTCACGCTTCTTGTCCACCATGGGCCGTGGTGAGGGGTGGACATGACCTCTGCCAGGACCTCCATTGCCACACCCGGGAGACACCTGCATGAAGCACCCACCCAAATGCAGCCTGGCTGCCTGAGGCCCTGCCTACCTTCCTGACCAACTTGGAGAAGGATCTGAGCTGTCTGGTCACTGCAGGAGGACGGGACACTCCCACCAGGCCCCTTCCCGTGCCTCCTGCTGGCCCCTCAGTGACACTTGTGTGGCCCTCCAGCCACGCCTCCGTGCCCAGGTCCCAGTGCCTCTGTCCAGCACGCTGCCGTCACCGTGAGCTGTCACATCAGAAGGGGCTTGCCCACCAGCTCTAGTCCTTCTCAACCCCCATCCTGGACAGTAGGGAAGGGTGGGTGGGACAGGGTCCAGCCTGGCTGTGCCCCCCATGCACCTCGGCTGGGCCTGGAGGTGAACCTGGCCTTGTCACCTGCCCAGCACCACACACCAGGAGTCTCTCACCCAGGCCGGCTGGGACAGACCAAGGAAGGCCACCAGGGAAGACCACGGGGAGGGAGTGACCATTGTCCAGTCCCCAGGGCTGACTCCCCCCGGTCTCTGCAGCAGGCCCTGGCCCAGGTGGATGATCTTCGGCTGGTGAGCATGCTGGAGATGTGTGTGGACACCCGTGAACATAGCCTGGGGAGCTTTGGTAAGAGCCTATCGCTGTCCACACCCACCACTGCCTAGGCCAGACCGCTCTTCGAGGGTCTGCTTGCTCGGACCTGGCCTGCGAGGCTCTGCTCATCAGACCACTGCTCATGAGCCTACCATGCACCCCCTAGGCTCTCCCTGCACCCCATAGGCCTGCCCTGCACCCCACAGGCTCACCGTGTACCCCACAGGCTTACCTTCCACCCCACAGGTCTGCTCTGTACCCCACAAGCCTGCCATGTACCCCACACGCCTACCCTTCACCCCACAGGCCTGCCTTGCACCCCACAGGCCCACTCGCACTCCTCTCTCCGGGGCCTGGGGACTTGGTCTCACAGGGACAGTGCCCTATGGTTTGTAGGGGTCGGTAGCTCAGAACCCTTTCCTGGGGACGTTGGATGTGCAGGGACACTGGCTGGGAATTCCCGTGCTCAGGCACCCAGCACTGTGAGCTGATGGAGGTTATGGTCTGGGGGTACCTGGGAAGCCCATGGGCAGGCCTTGGGAGGTGGTTGGGGGCAGGGCCCAAGCTTTGGTGGCCCCGCCCATTCCAGCTGGCTCCCCTCCTCCGAGCCACCTCCTGGAGAAGAGCAGCTGGGGGTCTCCATGTGCCCTGTGGGTTCAGGGGCGCCATCGCACCTGCCCTGCGTGCCCCATTTGAGCTGTGCCTCAGAGAAGCCGTCAGGCAGCAGGGCTGAGGGGCAGCAGGGGGCAGAGAGGGGCAGGTGAGCAGGGGGCCTGCATCTGACCTCCTCCCTGTGGCCCCACAGGGGTGCACCTGCCCAACCTCAGCCAACTGAAGTTGAATGACAGCCGCCTGGGCTCTGTGAGGTGAGTGCCCCTCCTGGGGACCACAGGGCTGTCCTGCCACACATGGGGTTGGGGTCCTGCAGGGGTTGAAAGGAGAGCTCAGGGCACGGTCTCTCCTGGGTGGGTACCCGCTGGGAGGCTCCTGTCTGTCCTGCTGTCCGGCTGCCGGCCCTGATGCGCCCTTCTGTCCGACTCTGACAATGTAGCTCACGTCACCCACCCCTGAGGGCTGGAGGCACCTACTGAGGGACACCAGGGCCTGTGTTCAGGGTCAGGCCGGTCACTCCAGGGTGTGGGGCTGACGAGCTCTCCAAGGACCTACTGTGCTGGAAGGTGCTCGCGGACCGTCGGCAAAGGGCCTCCAACCCTCGGGGAGTCTGGAGAGTGCCCCAGCACCAAGCAAGACCTCGGGGTTTGGGGTGTCTCTGCACTGGGAGGGCAGAGCTGGGGTCGTGCCGGTGGCTGGTGGCCGTGGGTGCCATGAGCCCAGCAGGCGGCACAGCCTCATGGGACAGGATGTGACGCCAGCACTTCCATCATCGACTTAAAGGATGAGCTTCAGGACTAGGAACAGATGATGGGTTTCTGTTCGCCTTGAGGGGCTGCGGAGAACAGAGCTGAGGGGGACGTCAGACTTCACTTTCTGCACAGAGCGGGGTTTCGTGAGAACGCTGCTGGTTCTGTGCCATGCACGAGGCGGGCGCCCATCGAAGTGTCAGACCAGCCCGCTGCCCCTTTCCGGGTCCCGCCATGCCCGCCCACAAAGTTTATTGAGCAACCTCACTGTAAATGTTCACTGATTCTCCTTATTTATACTGATATGCAACAAATTCACATAAAAAAGAACTTAACGAAACACCCGCAGCTCTGGGGATGGAAGACCGTTGACTTCTGCAGCGGGAGCTGGGGCCACGGGCACACAGGACGCTGCACCCCAAGGGAGCATCTGGAAACCGGCTTCAGAACCGTCCCTTCAGTACCCGCGGAAACAGCGTTCTGACAGGCCCCGTACTGTCAACAGAGGCGCCGTCATTTCCCCCTTCACTGTTAGGCTTGCACATTGGGTGAAAGACCAGTAAAAGTACGTAAAAAGCATATAAAATGAACGATAAAAACCATACGAGAGCCCGGCCGGTGTGGCTCAGTGGATTGAGTGTCAGCCCTTGGACCAAAGAGTCACAGGTTCGATTCCCGGTCAAGGGCACATACCTGAGTTTCGGGTTCAATCCCCAGCCCCTGTCTGACTGTGCCGGAGGCAGCCAACCTATGTGTCTCTCTCACATCAATGTTTCTCTCTCTCTGTCTCCCCTCCCTCCCACTCTCTCTAAAAAATCAATGGAGCCCTGGCCAGAGTGTCGGCCCGCAGACCAGAGAATCCCGGGTTCAGTTCCCACTAAGGGCACGTACCTCGGCTGCAGTTTGTCCCCAGCCCCAGTTGGGATCGTGTGGGTGGCAGCCACTTGATGTGTCTCTCTGACATCGATGTTTCTCTCTCTCTCTTCCTCCCTCTCTCCCTCCCACTCTATCTGAAGTTAAATGCAAAAATGTCCTCGGGTGAGGATAAAAAAAAAAGATTCGCGTGCTAATTTGGGTGTATCTGTTAAGTTACACGCATCCATGAATATGGTGTAGCTCTCCATTCCTGTGTTTGTTTGTTTGTCCTCACCTGAGGACATATTCCCACCTATTTTCAGAGTTGGGGGAGAGAGAAACATCAACATGAGAGAGACACATCAATTGGTTGCCTCCCGCACCACCCCGACCAGGGCTGGGGTTGAACCGCAAACGAGGTCTGTGTCCCTGACCAGAACGGAATCTGAGACTCTTCAGTCTGTGGGCTGGTGCTCTACCCACTGAGCAAAACGGCCAGGGCGTTTCCGTTCTTAAGAGTCTTTAAATGTCCCCTGTACAGTTTGTTATCAGAATGTTTTCACCTGCCAGTTACAGAAATCTTAAGAGTCTTTAAATGTCCCCTGTACAGTTTGTTATCAGAATGTTTTCACCTGCCAGTTACAGAAATCTTAAGAGTCTTTAAATGTCCCCTGTACAGTTTGTTATCAGAATGTTTTCACCTGCCAGTTGCAGAAACACGTATGCAAGCAGCCTAAACCACGGGAAACCGTTGATGCATACGTACTGTGGGCATCGGCGAGCAGGATGGACCAGAGTCCTGCCTCCCGGGGAGCAGACAAGACACCCGGGCTGGCTCGTCCAGGTCTCCCCCAGCATGGTGGGCCGAGGGGGTGTGCTCACTTCCCGGGGCTGCTCACCACGCACCCACCACAAACCCGGTGGCTAGAGTAGCCCAGCCTGCTTCTCGCCAGTTCTGGGGCCAGCGGTTAAGACCAAGGCGTGGATGGGAGCGTTGCTCCCTGCTGAGGCCGCAAGGGGGAGACCCCGTCATTCCCCTCTCCTCCCTGGGGGTTCCTCGTCTCGTGGACTCGCCACCCCCATCTCTGCTTTTGGGTGCAGGTAGCGTTCTCCCCGCCTGTGTGTCTCTCCACATGACCGACACGGTCCCATTGGTCAGGGCCCACCCTGCTCCATGCGACCTGATGTTCACTAATTACATCAGCAAAGACCCATTTCCAAGTCAGGTCACACTCTGGGGTGCTGGGGAGTGAGGACTCCAACATAGGAGTTGGGGGTGCATACTTCAACCCCTCACAGGGATGCGCCCTCCTGTGTCCATTCCAGGAACAGCAGTGTCCCCAGCGCTGCCCCCGCGCATGTCTGTGCGCAGGCACACCAGCCACTGGAGGGCTAAGTACCTGCTGCCACTGGGGCGCAGGACACCAGCCCCTCCCGGAAGCCAGTACCTAATTAGTTGCCACACAGAGTGCTCGGAACGCATGAATGAGGTCCTGTTTCTGTTGTGTTTTCTGGTTGGTTGTTGCCAATGTGGAGAAACTATGTTGATTGAGAATCTTTTTATTTTTATTTTAATCCTCACCCAAGGATATTTTTCCATCTTTTGTTTGTTTGTTTGTTTTTTGTGGAGCAGAAGGGAGGGAGGGAGAGACAGAGAGCAACATCGATGTGAGAGACACAGCAATTGGTTGCCTCCCACACGACTAGGAATCGAACCCAAGACTCTGGTCCGGCAGGCCAACGCCCCAACCGCTGAGCCAAACCGGCCAGGGCTGGGTTTTTAAAATCAGTACAACACTTGGTCTTTGTAAGTGGATCGCATACCTGGCCATATTGTACCTTTGCTTTGTGTTTATGGTATTGCCAACTCTCTTCTTAATTCAAATAATTGGCTCATTCAGTTGGGGTTTCTGTATTGATGATTGTGTTACTGGCCCGTTAGAGGTGTTGTCTTGCATTTCTAATCCTCATGTCTCTTTTTCTCGTCTCACGGTACAACGTTAAAATGTAGCAGTGACCTGTGAGCATCGTCCTGTGAACCAGGAAGTCATGGGTTTGATCCTCAGTCGGGGTACGTACGGGAGACAACCAGTCGGTGGATCTGATGCATCTCTCCCTTCGATGTTTCTCCTCTCTCCCTCTCCCTTCCTCTCTCTCAAATCAATGAATATATTCTCGGGTGAGGGTTATAAAATCAGTAGAAGTGACAGCGACAGGCATTCTTGGTTTGTCCTGATCTTTTTTATTATTTTTCCTTTATTGATTTTAGGGAGAGGGAGAGAGAGAGAAACATCGATGAGAGAGAACATGGATGGGCCGCCTCCTGCATGCCCCCCACTGGGGACTGGGCCCACAACCTGGGCATGTGCCCTGACCAGGAATCGAACTGGGGACCTCTTGGTGCAGGGTCAATGCTCAGCCACTGAGCCACACCGGCCGAATGGTTTGTCCTGATTTTAATGTGTGTAAGTTTTCTACATCTGCTGACATGATCCTAAGATGATATTTCTCCTTTATTTTCCTTTTTTTTAATTAACTTATTTTTTAATCCTCATCCGAGAATATTTTTGCATTTATCTTCAGATAGAGTGAGAGGGAGGGAAGGAGAAACATCGATGTGAGAGGGACACGTCGACTGGTTGCCTCCCACACGACCCCAACCAGGGCCAGGGAAGAACCACAACCGAGGTACATGCCCTCCATCGGAATCAAACCCACGACTCTTTGGTCCGGGGGCCAATGCTCAATCCACTGAGACAAATCGGCCAGGGCTCTCCTTTATTTTCTTTAAATTTTTATTTATTGACTGACTTGAGAGAGAGGGAGAGATTGAGCGGCTGGTCCCACTTATGCATTCATGGGTTGATTCTCGTATGCGCCCTGACCGGGGATCGAACCTGTGACCTGTGGTGTACGGATGACGCTCACCCGACTGAGCCGCACCGGCCAGGGCACCATTTAATTTCTTTCATGACTATTAGTGTAATCAGATTCTCTGTTTCCTTTAGTGCCAGCTTTGTCTAGGTTTTCAAAATGTTGGTATACACTTGTTCATACTGGTCTGTTGTTATTTGAAATTGTTGGCATGGCCGTAATTATCATTCCCCCTTCTGAACTCTACAGACTTGTTTGCATGGCCTCTCTTTTTACCCTTGCTCGGTCTTACCAGAAGATCGTCGGTTAACTTTTTTTTTTTTTTTATCCTCACCCGAGGATATTTTTCCATTTTTTGTACAGATAGAGTGGGAGGGAGAGAGAGGAAGGAAGAGAGAGAGAGAAACATCGATGTGAAGGGACACATCGAGTGGCTGCCACCCGCACGACCAACCAGGGCTGGGGACAAACTGCAACCGAAGTACGTGCCCTTAGCGGGAACCGAACCCGGGTCTCTCCGGACCGCAGGCCGATGCTCTAACCGCTGAGCCAAACTGGCCAGGGCTAACTTTTTTTTTTTTATCCTCACCCGAGGACTTTTTTTTTTTTTGCATTTGTCTTCAGATAGAGCAGGAGGGAGAGAGGGAGGAAGACAGAGAGAGAAACATTGATGTGAGAGAGAGACACGTCGACTGGTTGCCACCCACACGACCCCAACTGGGCCAGGGATAAACTGTACCTGAGGTGCGTGCCCCTAGTGGAACCGAACCCGGGACTCTCCGGTCCGCAGGCTGACACTCTAACCGCTGAGCCAAACCAGCCAGGGCTGGTCCATTAACTCTTAAGGCACTGTCTCCAGGCTCCGTCTTCTCCAGTGTTTCTGGGTGTCACCTATTGGTCATATCTTTTTCTTTCTAGCTCTTTGAGCCGAATGCTTAATGGCTTGAATCCTTCCAGGTTTTTAATATACTCAAAGATCTAAAATTGTTTCTTGAAAAAGTTGCCCTGGCCGGTGTGGCCGGGTGGCCGATTGTTGTCCTGTGCACTAAGGGGTCGCCGGTCCGACTCGGGTCAGGGCACACGTCCAGGTTGCGGGCTCGGTCCCCAGTGAGGGGGCGTGCAGGAGGCGGCCCATGGATGTTTCTCTCTCTCTCTCCCTCTCTAGAATCAACTTTGTTTTAAATGTCCTCAGGTGAGGATTAAGACAGAGAGAGAAAATGTGGGGACAGCCAAGAGAGGGGGACGAGTCTTCTGTTAGGGAAAAAAAGCCATTTCCTGCGACCTCCCATGGAAACGCCCAAGCCAGGAGCCGGTGGCGTGGGGCGGGCGCGGCCCAGCGGGAAGAGGGCACGAGCCTCCTGCTCAGCCTGGGGCAGAGGCAGCAGGTGCTTCTGAATGAATTCCAGACCAAGGACGTCAAGATCTGGACACGAATTTCAGCCGAGTAAGAGACGACTGGAAAAGCCACGTATGGAGACCGATGGATACACACAGAGCCCTCGGCAGCAAAGGACAAAGACTACACAAGTGTGGACATCAGGATGACAGCTGGGACTGAAGGGCCTGATGGACAGGCAGGGTCACCAAGGGCCCTCCTGAGCTGGAGGAGGCAGAACGGGAGGCTGGTCCTGTCACCTGGGAAGGAGCCAGCGCCAGGTCCGGAGGCCTGAGGGTGAGGGTGCGCGGCCCACCCAGATGGGCGGCTGGCCCTGCAGGAAACATGCCGTAGGGAGAGCCCCTTCCAGTCACGGGTCCCCCCAGCAAGCCAAGAGGGAGCCCCCACATCAGCGTCCCAAGTGGCTCAGCATTTCCAAGCTGCACCTCAGACCCTCGCTCCCCATCTGAAACCCCCCAAACGATCAATAATAGAATTTCAACATTGCAAGACGTGCAGCATGAAAGGGAAAAGGCAGAACGAACCGAGAGATCCTACAGGAGACGGTGCAGGAGGACAGAGTGCCCGGAACCCTTGGTCTTGAAAACCGGAGCGCGCCGTGGGGACCGGCAGGGCACAGTGCAGAGCCTGGAGGCGCGCACCCGGCGCCCACGAGAAAGTGCTGGTAGCGAAGTCGGAAGACAGGACATGGCCCAGAGAGCCGACAAAAGGCAAACCGGAGCACCCTGGCCGGTTGGGCTCAGCGGTTAGAGCGTCGGCCCGAGGACCAAAGAGTCATGGGTTCAATTCCGGTCAAGGGCACGTACCTTGATTGTGGTTCGTCCCGGCTCTGGTCGGCATCATGCGGGAGGCAGCCAGTCGATGTGTCTCTCTCACGTCAATGTCCCCCTCCCCACTCTGTCTGAAGATAAATGGAAAAATATCTTCGGGTGAGGATTAAAAAAACAAACGAACAAAAAGGCAAGCAGACAGGAGAGGGAGAGAAGGGGAGAACTCAGCATGGGCGTGGAGATTCCGATGTGAGGAGAGAAAGTGCCAAAGAGGTAACACCCGGAGCATCCCGGAAGCCGAACCAAGGACACATGGCATGGGCCCCGGCCCTGGCCGCAGACCTGGCCCACCCAGGCCCCGAGGACCCCGCAGGCAGGGGGACCCAGAGCGGTCAGGAGACAGAGGTCTGCCCTCTATAGTTGTCCTAACTTGGGAGAGGCCTGGCTGCCCATCTGCAGGGCAGCTGCTGGCTGAAGGAGGGTGGCCAGGTGGCTCCGGGGCCAGGGCGTGCAGGTCCTGCAAGCACAGCTAGGCTGGGGGACAGAGAGGGAGGGAGAGCACCCGAGGCTGAGCCCACTGCAAAGGGGCCGTCTCGCCAGCCCCACCGCGGCAGCTGCAGGCCAGGCTGGGCTGAGCTGTCCAGCACAGGGGTGGCCCTCTCAGCCAGGCCAGGCCCTCCAGGGGCTGGAGAAGGTGTAGGCCACTTTGCCTGCCCGAGACCAGGGCTGCAGCATGGAGGGAGGCAGGGAGCCCCTTCTTCTACCTTCTTCTGCCATGAGCCCCACTCACCCCTGCCCACGTGCCTGGAGATGGCCAGAGGTGACTGTCCGGCAGCTCGGCATGAGGCAAGGCGCAGGGCCTTCATGGCCACAGACAGGGCCTCCACCCCAGGACAGCACTGACCACCCAACCCTGCCCTCTGCAGAGACCTGGGCACCTCCCTGGGCCGCCTGCAGGTGCTGTGGCTGGCTCGCTGTGGCCTGACGGACCTGGATGGCATTGGCTCCTTCCTGGCCCTGAAGGTGGGTCTGCGGTGCCCCGGGCTGGGGAGGGCGCCACGCGAGGCCCCGGCTGAGGTTCCCGTGCTGCCCCAGGAGCTGTACGTCTCCTACAACCACATCGCAGACCTCAGCCCGCTCTGCCTGCTGGATCAGCTGGAGGTGCTAGACCTGGAGGGCAATAACGTGGAGGACCTGGGGCAGGTGCGCTACCTGCAGCTGTGCCCGAGGCTGGCCATGCTCACCCTGGAGGGCAACCTGGTGTGCCTGCAACCCAGCCCCTCCACCCAGGTGTGTGTGGTGGGCAGCCGTGCACAAGGGAGTGGGACGAGCTCTGTGGCTCCAGCCCGTGGCCCCCTGCACCCTGCGGCTTGTTCACTGAACTGGAGCCCTGGCAACTGTCAGTGTCACCTCCTGGGCCAGGCCCAAACCCACAGCGCCACGTGGAACCACACGTGCCCTGTACTGTCTCAACACAGACCCATGTACACGCACGCCACACATGCAGGCCCCATCCAGAGCCTGCAGGCCTGTGCACACCCACAGCTGCGCACACCCCTGCACTGCCCAGGCGCATGGGCTCACACCACCTGCCCTGCGGCTACTACTCCGGCCAACCCAGCCAGAGCTCTGAGCTCGGGGCAGCTCCACAGACCAGAGGGCAGCACTGGACCCTGACCATGAGCCTGAACAGTGAGCTCACTTGGGTGACAGCCGGGGTGCCCAAGTCTGACACAGGCAGCCTGGCAGGGTGGGGCAGCCTCACCCACCCCACAGGAGGGTCTGGGGAAAGTGGCCCCAGGACACGGCTGGGCTGAAGGGCCCATGGCCCCAGGCCTGCCACCCCTCTCTGCTCTGCAGGTGCCCCAGGGCTACAACTACAGGGCAGAGGTGAAGAAGCTCATTCCCCAGCTGCAGGTCCTGGACGAGATGCCAGCCACACACACAGGCCTGCCGGCCTCGCGGAAGCTGGACCAGGACTGGCTCATGGTGAAGGAGGCCATCAAGGAGGGCAGTGCCCTAGACGGCCTGCTCCCTAGGCTGGGTACTCACACCCACCTGGCCTCTGGCAAGAGCTGCCCCACCCGGCTGGGCAATCTTTGAGCCTCACGAGAGGTCTCCACCCTGTGCCCAGCACAAGACAAAAGCTGTCTAATACCAGTCCCCCCAAGCCTCTCAGAGATGGCCAGCCTCATATGATCCCTCTTCTGAGCCTTAGCCACTTATCCCCAGGGCCCTGCCCCCAGGCCAGGACGCCCCTGTGAGCAGCACCTGGTTGGGGCCCCTCACCCATCCGAAGAGGAAGAGGAGGTCCAAAATCTGGGCCTTGGGACACACAGATGTTGGGTGGCAGGGGTCCCTGGTCTGTAGACAGAGCCTTGTGGGGGGCTCTTGGGCTGGCCAGCTGGTGTGGTCCTTGGTGATCTCTGATTTTGACCTCCTGCAGATCATCCCCACGGAGACCGCATTCGGAGATTCGGTCCTGAGCCATCCCTGCCTGAGCCCCAGCCCCGGGCCCCCAGGCCTTGGCCAATCTCCCTACTGGTCCCTGGGGGACCCCTGCCTGAAGGTCTGCTTCCCAAGGACCCAGCCCCAGAGGATGACGCCAGCAACCTCACCCACGGTAACTGGCCCGCCTCGGCAGGAAGCTGACCCTGAGCCCCTCAACCCAGACCGGCCCATCCACACCTTCTTCTTCAGGTGCAGGCCGGGTCCTCTGTGGAAACCCCACCAAAGGCCTTCGGGAGCGCCAGCCCCGGTGCCAGGTACGCCGGGACCCCAGTGTGTGCACCAGCGTGCTGGGCTCTCCCCCAGGGTGGACAGCATCCTGGCCTGACGGTGCCACTGCAGGGCCAGGCCCCCCTCTCCCACGCCCTCCACAGCTGGAGGAGTCTTTCTCCCAGCAGCCCGCTGCCCACACAGCCCCTCCAAGGCCCTTTCCCTCCTCAGGCCCGGGCGCCCCCAGAGCAGCTGCCCCCACGCAGGCTGGAAGACCTGGCCACCAGGGCCTCCACCCCAGGGCCTGACCCTGCGGACAGCCGTGACCTCTTGGCATTGGCTGGACTTCGGGCGTGGAGGGAGCTTCATCTGCGGTGGGTGCCTGACCCAGCACTGAGCTCGGCCTTGTGTCCTGTCTGGTGGGGGTCCTGGCTGGGGCTGCCTTGGCTGAGCAGTCGCTGGCCCCCAGGATGGCCGGGGGAGCTGGTCACCGGAGCCTGAGGCCGGGGTGCCATCCCAGAGTCACACTCTTTGGGGACTGGCTCCAAGGGCAGGGCTGCAGCCTCACCTACTTCCCCACCTCAGCTCCCTCCCCCATAGGTGCCTGGATTCCAGGCAGGAAGGGGCAGTAGTCCCCAGGGGCCCACAGAGGGGCCCTGAAGAACGAGAGGACAAGACCGGGCCCAAGACTTCCCCCGTCTCCCCGAGCCTGGCCCCAGGTACCGAGAGACCCACACACCATGTCAGGACAGGACCTCACCTCACCAGACTGAGCAGGGCTATGACCTGCAGGTTCCCTCCAGGGGTGGGGGGCTCACAACGGAGGCGACACTCCCACGTGCCCCTCCCTTGAGTGCGGGGACCATGAGGCCACCAGAGCGGGACCAGAGGCGAAAGGCACCCCAGCGAAGGAGCAGGGGCAGTGAGGGACCATGACCAGTGAACAGGGAGTAAGGCAAGGTGCTGGCAGCGGGGTAGGGCCCACCTGGTGGGCAGGAGACTGAGGCAGGGAGGACCGCAGACAGGGCCAGAGCTGGGCTCAGGCCACAGGTTCAGGTCAAATGATGTCCTTCCCAAGAGACTGGCTTCAGGGTGACAGCAGCCAAGTGGGGCAAACCCAGGGGCTGCGAAGCAGAGAGGCCTCCCCGAGCACAGCCAGGGGGGCTTCCTGGAGGAAGGGTCTGAGCCTGCTGGTGGGCGAGGGGGGTCCAAGCCTGGGGGCGGGCATGGTAAGCAGGAGCACAGGCTGAAGGTTGGCTGAAGGACCCTCCTGTGCCGCCTCCCCCAGTCAAGGGGACAGGGCCTAACCTCTGCTGCTCCTGGTGCTGGCCTGGGGGGAGGGGCCAGAGAGGGTGAACCCTGAGATGAGCTAGTCAAGAGGGGTCGAAGGCCAGCCACCTAGTGGAGGGAGAGCAGCAGGCAGGAGGGCCAGAAGGAGTTGCTGGAGTGGTGGCAGAGTGGGGACTCAGGGAAAAAGGGGTACCAGGGCCCCCCATTCCAGGCTTGGCCCAGGTGGGCACTGGCTGACCCTGGCCATACCTGCCCAGTCTGCACTGGGGTGAGTGTGGGCCTTGGTCTATAGCAGAGGTTTAGGAACGGGCCCAGGGCCACCAGCCTCTGAGCAGGCCTTGGGGCAGGACCTAGTGACCCAAAGCCAGAGTCCCGGCCTCGTGGCTCCTGCCTCCCCAGAGGCAGATCCAGCTCAAGCAAGGGTCAGGGGTGACGATAATGAGGGGCCACAGCTTCCCTGGGAAGCACAGGGAGTGGGCAGAGGTACTACTGCCTCGGGGAGCAAAGGGCCACGGGAGGAGCCACAGTGACCACTGCAGCTTGCCTGTGGTGACCCCCCTCCCGATGATTCTTGGGGGGAGCCTTGTCTGATAGGTTCTCTCCTTGTTTTCCAGGGTCTTCCAGGATGTTGGGCTATAATTTGCTCCCCTCTCCCCCCAAGGTCCCCATGCCACCTGATTCGAGCAGTAGCTCCTGGGGGTCCAAAGGCTTGCAGCTCTGGGGGCGACGGCTCAGAGCCCTGGGCAGCTTGGGGCCAGGCCTGGACCGGGGGCTGGCTGCAGAGGCTGCTCTGAGATCAGCACTGGAGGTGGCCTCAGGCCCAAGCCCTCAAGCCCATGGACGTCCAGGCCCAAAGCCAGCACCAGACCCAGCAGCCATACCCCCAGCCCTGAGGTGCCTGCCACGCCTGAATCCTGTCCCCCCAGCCCAGTCCCACCCCTAGTGTCAACCCCCACCCACTGCCAAGCTGGACGGAACTTTGGCCAAAGGGCCCCAGCTTGGTTGTGGAGCCTCGTGGAACCCAGAGCATCTAGGGGGAGTCGCTGGGGGTAAAAGGTAGCCCTGGCACAGGAGAGGCTCCTCTTGCTGAAGAGAACTGGGGAGTGGGGACCACCAGGGAGGACACACAGACCAGAGCCCAGGACTGCCCAGCTCCCAAACACCGGCCCTAATCTTCCCAGAGGGAGTGGTCAGAGGAGCAGGCCTGGGAGAGAACAGTGGGCCCAGGCTAGGTGGCTGAGCTGGCCCAGTCCACTTCCTGGCAGGCCCTCAGCGAACCCCTGGGGCGCGGCGGTCCCAGGCAAGGTGCTGGCCCTCAGCGGGAAAGTGTCGCCAGGCCTCCCCATCCAGGTGGATCTGGCCAGTTCCCTCTGCTTGGGGCAGGATACCCGGGAACCAAGAGAATCATTTTCGACTCTCAGGTGTACAGAAATGCAGTTTACTTCGTAGGTGACGTTGGTTCAATAAAGTACGCAGCTGGCACTCACTGCCTCCCACGACTGTCTCCCTGCATCTCCGCGGTCCCCGGGCGCCCCACCCCGCACTGCCCCCGCCGCCACCGCCGCCGCAGTCACGGAGATGCTGGCCTGGCCCGGCCCTACCACCGCGGCCCTACACCCGCCGGCCCGCGTCCGCGGTGATGGGCGGGCAGCTGAGGAAGCGGAAACCGAATCTTTTCTCGGCTCTGCTGTGCACGGACAGCGCCACCATCGGGCAGCCCCGGTCCACGGTCTTCCGGCACACCTGCGGGACCGGGCGGAGAGCTCACGGCGCGGAGGGCGGGGACTGGGGGCGGGGCGGGTGCGAGGGGAGTGGCCGCGCGCAGAGGGGCGGGAGCGGTCTAACCTGGACACCCGTGTGCGCGCACTCACCCGGACCCTGTGCTCGTTCCTGGCCTGGCAGTCCGCGAGGCGCAGCCGGTCCTCTGCGTGGGGCAATGATGGGGGGCGTCGGACCGGCCTCTCCCTGCCGGTCCACCCCGCCCTCCGCGTCCCCAGGCACGCTCACGGGGTATGGCGGGCAGGAGCTCCGGTGTGTCGGGCGCCGCGCTCTGGGGTGGTGCTGGCACCTCCCACATGCGGGGGAGCTTGCTGGTGGTCAGGCGGGGCAACAGGGCCCGCGTCCTGGTGGGGCGAGGGGGTCGTGAGGGCCTGAGCCCGCCCGTGAGAAAGGGGCGGTCCTGGCGGGGAAGAGCCTGGGGAAGTGGGGCTCTGAGGGTGGACCTGAATAACCCGGGGACCAGCCTGGCGAGGTCTCGGGCTGCGGAAGTGGAGGATGGTCCTATCGGGGGTCTGGGGGACACTGGGGGGGAGCGGGACCTGGGGAGGAGGCGGAGACCGAGGCACCCGCGGTCCCCACCCCGTCCTCCGGCGCCGGGCCCGGACCTCCCGCACCCGACCGTTGCGCGGGGATCGGGGCGGGCGCCGCTGCTCTCGAGTGTCGGCCCCAGTCTGGGCCCCTGAGAGTGGGAAGCTGTCGATGGACAAGTTGGTGTTATCGTCGAAGATCCTCGAAACGGGGGTCACGCAATGCGGGGCGTGGTGCTTGCTGAAAACCTGCGGGAGGGAGGGGCGCGCGGTCACCCCCCATCCCGCGAGGCCTTCCCCCAACCTGCCGGCTGGGACCCGCACTGACCTCGCCCTTGGGGCTCAGGAGAAGAGTCACCAAGCTCCGACTGGGGTGGAAGTGGAGAGGCTTCCTGCCCACGGACGAGGGCGGCTGCTTCTTGGTGCTGCCAGGCCCCTTGCCCCACACCTGGGGACGGCGCCAGGCGCGGGTGAGCGGCGCGGGCGAGGGGCGGGGGCGCGCGGGCGCGGGCGGAGCGGGCCATACCGTGAGGTGGCGCTGCGGCCCCAGCAGCGTGCGGGGCGGGAAGCGGTACAAGCACACCGGGAAGTCGCGCTCGAACTGCTGCAGGGTGAAGCCACCCAGGTCCATCGTCTCTTCCATTGACTCGTTGAGGATGCAGACGAACCTGTCTCGAAGGCTCACAGCCACGATCTTCAGGCAGGAGCCGGCCCTGCTTGGGCGGGAGCAGCTGGTCAGGGCCCTCCTGCTGGAAGACCCGCTCCTCTGCGCAGAGCTGCGTCTCTCTCACCTCCAAGGGTGCGCTGGGTCCCAAAGTTTGGAATCTGCAGGGGACTTGCGCAGCTGGACAATTTTATCCCGCCGGTCTGAGTGCGTTTCCCGGATATTCAGAGAGAGGAGGCCTGTTCAGGAGAGGGACCCCCATAGGGAGCGTCCACTGGGGACGTCTGTGAGACCAACTGGCCTGCCCGCAGCGCCCTGGGGGGTCCACGTGGGAGAGGGACAGCTCCAGGAGGCAGATCCAGGGCAGGAGGGGTGGCTGGACCCTGGCAGCTAAATGGAGCAAAGAGGTAGCTCATAGTTCTTGGAAGGGTTTGATCCAGAGCACAGAGGCCTCCAAAACCACCCCAATCCCTACAGATGAGGCTGGAGAAGCTCCAGCAGCCTCCCTCAGGGCTACAGTGAAGGCCAGGCAGTCAGGGGACCTCCTTTAGGGTATTGGGCAGAGATCACAGCCCCGCAGGGCAGAAGGGAGGAACCAGGGAGACCTGCCCCACTCCACCTTTAGTCTCTGCCTTCCGGTCCCTACTGAAGTTCCTGGCCCCCGAGTCTATTTGCTGGAAAGAAATGTGGCCTGGTCCCTGGGGCGGATGCCCTGTCGCCTTCTGCATGCCAGACTGCTCATCCAGGCGGCAGTTGCTGGAGTCAGAATCAGCGTCCCCTGAGCTGCTGGTGCCCACGAAGGGCAGGGAGCACCACTCCACACTCTTGATATGACGCTCCATGTACTGTTTGCACAACTCAGAGCCACGTTCGTTAGTCGGTGAGGCCGGTGGGCGCTGTGGGGGCTCTGGGGGCTGCCGGGGTGAGAGGTGCCTGCAGGCCGAAGTATGCTCACTGGCTGCTTGGCTGCTGCTCCTGGGCCCAGCCCTGCCCCCAGCCAGCCTCCCCAAGGTGGGCAGGGCACCCCAAGTTGTGGTCCAGGTCCTGGGAACCAGCCCAGGGAAAGGGCTCATGGCAGGACAGAGATGGCCCGGGAGCCCTTCTCTTCCTCTCTGCCCTGTTCCAGAAATCAGACAACTGACACTTGAAAGGTTCAAGCGACTTGTCCTGGGATACGAAGGGTGGGACTTGGACTCCAGTCCTCATCTGCCAAGGCAAGCCCTCCCTCCCTCCCCCGGCCCCTGGGGGAGTCCCTCCCCCCCAGTGCATTCACTTGTACTGCGAGCTCAACTTGATGTTGGTGAAGAGGTTGGGGTACCGACGGGCGATGCTGTTCCAGTCCACATCCTCCAGCCGGATAACCTGGCCAGGAAGCAACAGGAATGTGGCCCTCCCCTCCCACAGAGCCATGAATGCGTGTGGGGGACCTTGCTCACCTTCCGAGCAGCAGTGTCTTCATCGTTCTCAGAGTGGTCACTGGGTTCCATCAGGGTCTCTGCAGGCACTACCTGCAAGAGGCGCCGGAGGCAGAGGCTGGGGGCAAGGCACTCGTCCTCCCAGGACATCTCTCCCCCTCAACCTCACCAGCACCTGAGGCATACACTTGCTGAGTGTCAGGTGGGCTGCACCCCAGGTCTTGTAGTTCCTCCTTGTCTCAGGCCACTGTCCAGAGGAAGCCTAAGGTGGGCAGGCTTCCCAGGCAGGCCAGAGCACCCCCAGCAGAAGCACAAATCTGGACTGGGCACACTGGCTGTCAGGAAGTCCAAGGAGAACTGGGGAGGGGACATGAAAGGCAGCAGGCTGGGCCCAGGGGCACAAGCTTACCTCCACACTGCCAGTGGACGACTTCAGCATGCGACCCACCCAGGACGAGCTGGCCAGCTGCAGGAGGCAGGACTTTTCCAAGGCCTGCACCTCGGCCTCCAGCTGCTCCATCAAGGTCTTGGTTCGCAGCAGCTCCTCCTCCAGATTTGTCTTCTCCTGCTCCAGGAAAACACAGGTGGGGGGGCTTCTCTGACCACCCCCCAAGGCCAACCCCTGCCTGATTCCCAGGTCCCCTCACCTCCTGGGCCTGTTCCTTTCGCTCTTTCAACTCCAGAGTCAGCTTCTGGACCTGGGCCTGCAGGACTTTTTCCTGACTGCGAGAACTCCTGGGAGAAGGGCAATCTCAGTGGCCCCCACTTCTGAGTCAGCAGCCAAGGAGGGGCCCAAGGGCACAGAGTGCTGCTGGGCCAGGCCAGTGAAGTCTGAGAGGTCTGGGTCAGAGGCAGGGTCCTGGTTGAGGTCAGTACCCACTGACAGGTTCAAGCTTAGTGTCTAGGCAGGTCTAAAGTATATCAACTCTTTCAGGGTTAGGATGGGGATGAGGGTCAGGGAAGGACTAGGGCCCGAGGCAGGGTAAGGGTCAGAGCTGAGATCAGGTTCTTGGTCAGGCTCAGTGGTTGGGGTTGGGGTCAGAGAGAAACCAACAGATAGGGTCAGGTCAGGGCTAGGCCGGCCTGGGGGACTAGCTTTTCGCTGCTGACCTCTCAGGTGGAAGCCCAGCCACCTCTTGCAGAATGTGGCAGTGCCGGGCATCCTGGGGGTTCTGGACGGCATACCGCAGAGCCTGGATCTCCAGTTCTCGCTGCCTCCACAGCATCCGCAATGTGCGGGGGTCCAGGGACTCGGGGTCCACTCTGCAAAGCCAGCGTCCCGGCTGCTTGATCAGGCCCTGCCCTCTGGCTGGCCTGGCTTAAGTGGTTGACCGCCCTCCCTCCCCTCCTTACTGCAGCTTGAGGGAGACCACTTGTGCGGAGCGGGGCTTGGTGTCCTTCAGGCTTTCGGGACTCAGCAGGTCTGCAGGTGTATCCTCTGGAGGCCCCAGGTGGCTAGTGAGCAGCTCTTCATCCACCAGAGGTGGGGAAGCCTCTTCCTTGGCTTCTCCAGCCTCCCGGCAAGACTTGGGAGCCATTTTTGATGTTCTTGGAGCTGAAAGGGGTGGTGGGCTGTCGGCCCTGTATCCCGTGTGTGGGCAGCAGGCAGGGCTCTCCGAACATGGCCCCAAGTGTGTGTGTGTGTGTGTGTCTAATAGCCCCAGACAGCACCACAGCGGTGGCTCTCCAAGGAGGCCCGTGTGTGTGTGTGTGTGTGTGTGCGCGTGCGTGTGTGTGTCTACTCCATGGAACACCAGACTGTGGGTCCTGTGGGCATCCACACCTGTGTGTTTCTACCCAGGCCAGGGCAGCAGGTCACACCTCTAGGCAACATGTCACCTGGGTTTTATACATTCCCTCTGGTCCCTCACTATCACCCTTGCCCTCCAGGATCTGAGGTGCCCACCCCCAGCCTACAGCCAGGGTCCCCAGAGGTACTGGTCCTTTACCCACAATGCCCATGTCCCCCAGACCCAGGGCCCTACCTCCAACACTCACCTGAGGCCTGAAATCCAAGCAGGCCTGGGGAGAGAAAGGCTCTATAGCATTGCCATGGATACCAGCACCCAGAAAGGGAGGGGCTGTTTGTTACCAGGAACCTCCAGGGAGACCCCAGACCATGGCCATGGTTGGGCCCCAGCCCGCCCCTGCCCCCCACCAGGGGCTGGTCCAGCCTGAAGAAGAAGCTGTGAGAAGCTGAGCTGCTGCCCAACTAACCTCTGAAGGCCCAGAGTACCACTAAGTGATCAGCAGGGCCTGCCATGGTCATCACTCAGCCCAGTACCCCCAACCAACCCGGGGGAGGCTCCACAGTCCCTCCCCAGCCGGGCCATGGAGATGGATCAGTGGGTATTGGGGCCATTGCTGTCCAGTGTGTCCACAAGCCAGCAGGACCATACTCCTAGCGGACAGGAAGCGGAAGAGGGAGCAAGGGATAACCCTGAGAAGCTGGGGGAAGGCTTGCTACACTCTATTCCCCTCTAAGTGCTTTCCACAGCCTCTGCCCCCAGTGCCCAATTCCCACCTACCTAACCCCCAAGCCAGAAACCTCACCTTCCCCTGCCCATCTGCACCACCTGGGCCACCACAGGGACCCCTGGGGACATTCCCATTACCATGGCAACTGTTCCCTCTGCCCTGGAACAAAAGTGAGGCCTGGGCCTGACCCAAATGACAAGCGCCCTCAGCCTTTGCCACCCCTCCTTTATTCATTATGCATTTATTCAGATTTTCAACTTGTTCATGTGGGCCTCCTCAGCCGGGCAGGACAGGGGCAAAGGAGAAGACCGCCCACAGTCCAGTCTAATTAGGGCAGAACTGCTTCTTTTTTAAACGTTTTTATAGATTTGAGAGAGAGAGAAACATCGATGAGAACCATCCATCTGCTGCCTCCTACTGGGGATCGAGCACGCAACCCGGGGAGCCCTGGCCAGAATTAAGCCAGCCTCGTCTGGATGCCTAGGGCGACGCTCGACCACTGGGCCAGGGCCCAGCACCGGTTCTTAATGGCTAAGGGGCCACCGCTGATGAGCTGGCGTGGGTTCTCCCCGGGGACAGCAGGGCTGGCCGCAGTCAGGAGGGCACTGGGCACCCCTGGGGACAGGAAGGGGTGGAAGGAGTAAGCCTCAGACAAAGAGCCCAGGGCCTTCGCCCCCAGCAACCGCGGGGTGGCCCCTTCCCCCGCCAGGATCGTCAGCCTGGCTGCAGCCGGGCCCCACCTCCCCCTCGCGGGGGCTCACGGCCTCGGGCCCCTGTGCCCCGACGGCTGGGGGCGCAGGATCGGAGGGACCCAGGCCCCGGGGCGCATGGGCAGGATCTCCTCTGAGCGCTGGCGGGCTTGCGGGGTCCCAGGCCGGTGCCCCCTCCCTAGACGGGAGACTCGTCAACTGGACGGCTTCTGAGGAAGTGGGCCCGGGAATGGGGCCAGACACCTGTCCCACGCGCCGCCCTCGGGTCGCCGAATCGGACGCGCTTCCGCGTAGTTCGCGGGCTTCGGCCGTGAGTGGACCCGAGCTCCACCCGCACCCTCCGCACCGCCAATCCCCGCCCACACCTGGGCGCCGCCGGGGCGGGGCGGGCGGGGAGCCAATGGAGAGAGGCGGGACGCAGAGGAGGAGGCCAATGGGCGTGGGCGTGGGGTGGGCGGGGCGCGCCGAGGAGCCAATGGGGGTGTGCGGGGCGGGGCCGGGGGCACGGCCGCAGGCCAATGGGTGGTGGACAGGGACGCTCCCGCGGCGCTGGAGGCGGCAGGTTGCCGCGGCGCCGGGCGCTGGGAAGGAATCGGTTCGAGTCCGGGTCTCGGAGGCCGGCGGGCGCCCAGGTGAGCCGCGCGGAGCCCGGGAGCCGTCTGAGTGCGGGCGGGACCTCAGAGAGAGGCGCAGGAGCCGGGCCGCGCGTGGGGGCCGCACCTGCGTCCGCCCCGCGGCGGGGACGGCGGCCTCCGGGGCGAGCGCTGCGATCGGCGGGAGTGGGAGAGGGGGAGGGCTGCCTGCGCCAGGCTCGGTGGGTCCGGAGAGCCGAGGTCTGAGTCGCAGGGGAGGGTGCGTTCCCATGGCAGCGGGGTGCCGAGTTCGCGTGCGGGCGCCCTTGGGTGACGGGGATGGCGCCCCGCGGGAAGGGCAGTGCCCTCCGCACCAGGTGACTGGGGGGGCAGGAAGTCCTGCATCTGGTTAATGATTCTTCTCGTTCCGGGCGTGGGGCGGGGCGAGAGGAGGCTAGGAAGTGGGGAAGCCTCCAAGTGCTCCAGGAGGGCAGACTGGTTCCCCCTCAGGGGGGCTGGTCTTTACTACCCCCACCCCAGGAATGTGTGGCCTAAGGGTAGGGCTGGGCACAGGAGAGCTGGGCGGCTACCCTGAACCAGTTCTGGGGGTGAGGGGCAGGCCAGGAGGAGCAAGAAAGGAGGGCCAGGCAGGGCGTGACACTGTGGCCTTCCCCTGCAGGACAGGGACATGCTCTCTGGACCTGTGGCCATGGAGCTGAAGGTGTGGGTGGATGGCATCCAGCGAGTGGTCTGTGGGGTCTCAGAGCAGACTACCTGTCAGGAAGTGGTCGTCGCTCTAGCCCAAGCTATAGGTGAGTCCCCCTCAGGGATAGACAGGCCCAACAGGTGGACCTGGGGTGGGGCCTGGCCCTCTAGCTCCGGCTTCCCCCAAGGAGGGTGGGCTGGTTGCTGATCCCTCTTGCTCTCCCCTAGTTTCTCAGTCTAGGGGACGAGGGGTGGGGGACATAGGCTGACCCCTCTCCCCCACCCCAGGCCAGACTGGCCGTTTTGTGCTCGTGCAGCGTCTCAGGGAGAAGGAACGGCAGCTGCTGCCCCAGGAGTGTCCAGTGGGTGCCCAGGCTACCTGTGGACAGTTTGCCAGTGATGTCCAGTTTGTCCTGCGGCGGACAGGGCCCAGCCTCACTGGGAGGCCCTCCTCAGACAGCTGCCCACCCCCTGAGCGCTGCCCAATCCGTGCCAGCCTTCCCCCAAAGCCAAGACCAGTCTTGCGCGGTGAGCCCCACAAAGCACTGACCTTCAGCCTGGGGTGCCCCAGGCTGGCCTCTAGCCCGGCGCTGCCCGAGCCTGTGGCCTCTGTAGCACCAATGCCAGGCTGCTGCGAAGACCTACAGGACCTGGAGCAAAGGGTGCAGAGGAACGCAGCAGAGCTGGGCCAGGAGGCTTTTTGGGAGCAGGAGCTGCGGCGTGAACAGGCGCGGGAGCGCGAGGGGCAGGCACGGCTGCAGGCACTGAGTGCGGCCACTGCTGAACATGCTGCCCGGCTGCAGGCCCTGGATGCCCAGGCTTGCGCCCTGGAGGCCAAGCTGCGTCTGGCGGCAGAGGCCCCTGGGCCCCCTTCACCCACAGCATCTGCCACAGAACGCCTGCGCCAGGACCTGGCTGCTCAGGAGCGGCAGAGTGTGGAGGTGCAGGGCAGCCTAGCCCTGGTGAGCAGGGCTCTAGAGGCTGCAGAGCACGCCCTGCAGGTGAGTTCACAGGACCGGCCCCCCTGACACGGGTGGATTTGGGGGTTGGTTTCAGGGGCAGACTAAGGAGAGCACCAGGCCCTGCAGCCCCGTGGCTGTCCCTTGAGGGTCCCGTGTGCCCCAGGCCCAGGCCCAGGAGCTGGAGGAGCTGAACCGGGAGCTGCGTCAGTGTAACCTGCAGCAGTTCATCCAGCAGGCAGGGGCCGCCCCTGGCACACAGGTCGGAGTGGTTCTGGAGGGGCCGGGTCGGTGGGGGCCCCATCCCAGCTCCAAGCTGACGTGCTTTCCCCACAGGATCTCATGCCTCCAGCCAGAGGAAAGTCCCTCCCGGGAGCCCCCCAGAATCCTGCCCTAGTGTCCAGTTTGAGCCCAGAGGGTACGTATGTCTCCCCTAATCTGGGTGGGATGAGGTCCTCCTGTGGCCCCTCAGCCCCCTCAGCCTGTGTCCTCTCCACAGTTGCCCCCATGAGGCAGAACTGGAGGTAGCAGTATCTGCCCCGGAGTGAATGTCCACTGCCAGCCCAGCCCTGGGCTCTGATGACACGAGCGAGGGCAGGCAGGGTCAGCCCAGCCTGGACAACAGAAGAGGAATCTGGTTGTAGAGGACTCGTACTCCCTTATAATTGGAAGCCCTCGGGCCCTGGGCCCAAGACAGAACACCCCAGAACCCTGGGTTTCTGCTGCAGGGGCAGGGGGAGGCTGAGGACTCACTGGTGCTCGCCAAGTCTGCCAAGCCTCCTGAAGAAGCTTGGAACATGGCCAGCTCAGAACCTGCTAGGCCCCAAAGGCCATAGCTCCTTGTTCAGGACGGAAGATGCCTGGATGCTGTTTTCAGTCTGTGGGTATGTGCTTGCGTGTGGGAGGCATCCTTCAGTACGTGTGTGAGTGCGTGTGTACATGTGCGTGTGTGTGCTGCCTCCCCTACTGTGACGCTGAAAACCTCAATAAACTGTCTGAAGTGGCTTGAGTGTGTCTTGAGGCGGCACTAGGTGGGATCTGGGGGGGTCTAACACTTGAGACTACACCCAGGGTCACTGGGGAGTACCCCGAGTTCCCAGGGGCTGGCCACAGCCAGGGCTTCTGAGAAGGGGGTCTCCCAGAGTCAGTGGTTACTGGGGTCAGGGCCTCACATTTCAGGCTGCTGTGCCCACCCACTCAGGGACTGACTCTCTGCAGCCTAAGCCTGGTGTTGGAGTTGGAGTCTGACGCCTTGACATAGGTTTTATCTGACCCTCCGGCCTGGCTCCCCTCCTCTGGCCTGCTCCTCACTGGCAGGAGCTGCCGCCCACTCTGGGGTGGCTCCTGGATATGAGGACTCAAGGAGGTACCAGACCTGCCTGTCAGGTTGAATGAGTCTGAGAGCTCGAGGGGGCGGGTCCCAGGACTCCTGGGTTGGCCAGGCCTAGGGAGCTTTGCCCAGAGGAGCTTTTTAGGCCCTGTAAGGGTGTGGTCGCCCTGCCTTCCAACACCCTGTTTCAGCTCCCCAGGTGGGCATGAAGCCTCTACTATGTGCCTGCAGCCTTGAAGTCGGGGCAGGTATCCAAATCACAATCCTCTCCTGGGCTGGGCCTCAGGCTCCCAGCTCCGAGGGCTGTGGTGAAGATTGGGGACCTCTGTGATGGCCAGAGCTTGAGGGGCTCTAGGCCTCAGGTGCAGCCATTGTAGTACTGGGGAACAGGATGTGGACATCCCGGATCACGGGGGTCTTTGTGCCGAGTTTTGGGGTGGGCAACTTTGGGATGCGGTCAGCCTAAGCCCTGAGTCAGGCTTGGTGCTCCCCGCTTCCTTTGGAGCCGACCATAGGGACCACGAAATCCTAAGTATCAGGAGCAAGGAAGCCAAGAGCCCAACTTGTGGGGAATAACCAGGACTGAGGACTTCCTGCTGAGGCAGAGTACAGATGGGAAGCGGCCAGACAGTCCAAGTGGCAGAAGGAGGCTTCCGACCTTGGTGTCAGAGGGACCCAGCTCAGGCTTCCTCTCTGCAAAGCTCCCAGCCTGACCACATTCCTGTCTACGGTGCTGTGTGAGCCTGCTGCCCAGCTCACTGCAGCCTGTTGCTGAGGGCCTGGACTGGCCTGACCTGTGGCCTCAGACAGGTCCAAGCACAGGGTCACAGCGGATGTAGCCTGGACTGGAAAGGCTGATGGGGCCACATCCCGGGTGGAAGGGCTGGGAGCTCTGGGCAGTCACCACCAGGTTTGAGGGGCCTGCTCTCTTCACCCAAAGTCCCCACCCACACTCAGGAAGGTTGGATGGATCTGGGCACTGGCTCTGAGCCGCTGCATGAGGTCATCTCCCAAGCTGAGCACACAGGCCAGCAAGGGCAAAGCCAGGTGCCATCTAGGGACCACCACACACAGGGGACAGGCAGAACTAGCCCATGCCCTCCCCAGTGTCATGAGCTCCCTAACCAACTCCCAGCTCCCAAAGGGAAGCAGGCACAGAGCTGGCAGAGCTCACACACCTGTTCCTTCTGAAGCCACCATGAGGGGCTTGTCCCTGGTCTGCTATGGGCTCCGGGCAAGCTAACAAGCCCCCTTCAGAAGGGATCCTCTCCTCCCGCAGGTGAGGTGGAACAGAGGACGGGTGTGGCCGTTCCAGAGGCACAGAATCCCTCACAGCCACGGGCTTCAGATCACTCAGCAAGCCTTTGAGTGGCTGAAAAGTTTACTTTTGAGTTTTAAATTGTACGTTGAAAAAACAATGACGTGAGCTGTGCTGAGGTAAGGAAAAGCCGAGCTCCCCCCAAACATCCAGTTCATGGCAGGGCAGGACCAAACCAGGCCAGGTCAGCTCCCCAGGTAGTTGAGGCAGGACCCTGCCTGGTGTGAGGATGGGGCAGCCACCATCACTGGTCACTGTTGCCCTTCAGGGTCAGGCAGTACTGGGGGACAGCACTGGAGCGCCTACTAACCTCAGAGTTCCTTTTCCTCTAGGGCTGACTAAATATTCTTGGGTTCACTAAGGGTCACCCACAGTGAGTTACTGCCCAGGGGCAATAAATCAGCTCCACTGGGTCTCCACCCCAAGGCCACCACAGCCTCCCTGTCACCTGTAGAACCTGCCCTACCAAGCCTGCTGGGTGTGGCACTACAGTGACCATCAGGGCAGGGTCCTTCCAAAGGGAAGTCCAAGTCCATGCAAGTCCCCCAGCCTCTCGGACAACAGCAGACCCAGCTCCAATCACTGCCTGGAGAGGAGCAGGGCCTGCTGCAGGCCTCCTGGCACCTGTGGACCTGGAGGCTGCTCTGGACACACTCCACGCTCAGCAGATTTTCTTGGTGGATTGAAAGCACCCAGAAGAGAAGACAGGCCCAGTGGTCAGGCCAGGGACTGTGCCAGGTGCCCCACCTCTTGAAGGGACGTGTTGCTGGGCACCACGAAGGGGACCTTGCCGTCCTGTTCTCGCTCCCTTAGTGGCCTTGCTGACGTGGCAGAAATGCACAGAAAAGCCAAGCCTGCCTCTGTCTTCCTTAAGAAAGTTCCCAGAGGTGGCCCTCAGGAGGTTGGTCCTGGAGGCTCCAGTCTGCGCCTGCCCAGGGTGCCCTCGGCTCCGCGACATCCAGAAGACCGTCCCAGGAACGCTGCACAACCTGGCACCCTGACACACACAAGGAAAGAACGTTCTCTCCAAGAGGGCATCTGGTCCAACCTGAGCCCTCTCGCGAGGAGGGCAGCGAAACCCTCCATGTCCTTTCTTTCTCTCCCACCCCTGGGTGTCTACTGGGCGAAAACAGGCAGGCACTTCCATAGGGGGGCCCTGCCCTCCCCACCTTGGCGTGCGCCCTCCGACCCGGTGTGGCCTCTCCCTGCCCGGTGTGGCCTCCCCTTGCCCGACAGAGCAGGGTCACAGAGGGGCCGGGGCGGTCGCGCTGCCCAGGAACAGATCAGCCGCTGTCACACGCACAGTGGGTCCGGAGCAGCGCAGTGTGCAGTGGGCAGTGGCTGCCCTGCGCCTGGAGGGACCGCCGGGCAGGCGGAGGGGTCGTCCCGCACCCCGACCCCTCCTTCCCCTCCAACTTGGGCGTCCGAGCCCCTGCAGCCCGCGAGGGCGGGCGGCCTGTGGGGTGCGCCCCCGCCCTCCGGCCTGGGACCCCGAGCGCGTCACCTGCGACCCCAGTGCGGGACCGTCGCCGGCTCTCGGCCCAACTTCGGCAGCGGCCGCAGCCCCCTCGCGCCCCCTCGCGCCCCCACCGCCCCGCGCCCGCTCCCCGCGCCCGGCGCCCGGCCCGTATGCTAATATAAGAGCCCCACAGCCAATTGCCGGCCAGGCCGGGCCCGCCCTGCCGCGCCGCAGCCAGTGGGAGAGAGGGGGGTGCGGACGCCACGCCCACCGCCGCGCGGCCCCTCGCGGGCGCGGCCGGTGCGTTCCTTTCCGCACGTCGGCCTCGGGGCGGGGCCGCCACCTGCCGGGCGGGGCTTGGGGCGCCTCTTTGCAGCCTCGCGGGCGGCTCCCCCGCCGGCCCGGCCGGGTGGTACGGCCCGAGGCGCTGTCCCCCGCCCGCCGCGCGGGGGCCGGTGCCTGCCAGGGAATCCGCGGGACTCCGCGCACGTAGCGGGGGCCGGGACCGAGGAGGGGCCTCGGCTTCGGGACACACGTACAGCCCGCGCCGCCCGCGCCCACCCCCGGGCGGTCTAGCTGGCGGGGCAGAGCGGGGCGTGGGCTCCAGCCCGCCTGCTTTGCCCTCGCAACCCCCGCGGGCCGCCCTGGGCGCCCTGGATCCCTCCTGTGGCATCTGTCACCCCGGAAGGCTGCAGGGTCCTGGGCGCTGCCCCCTCGCGCTGCCCTGTCCTGTCGGAGCCTTGAAGAGGTGTGAGGCAAGGGAAGGGACTTTCACACCTGGAGCTATTGACTCTTGGGTGGAGCCCCCAAGGTGGCAGCCAAGGGACATTTGGCCTTGGCCCCCTTCTCTTCACCGCCCCCCCCCCCCCAAAGCCCAGGAGATCCCTGAGGCAGAATCTGCTCATCCAGACCCCTCATTGGGCAGAGAGGTGCCTGCTCTTCTTTTGTTCTTGACATAGGAGTCCTCATAAGCTTTTTTGTTTTGTGGGGTTCTTTTTGTTGTTACTCCTCACCCAAGGATATTTTTCCATTGATTTTTAGACAGAGTGGAAGGGAGGGAGGGATAGAGAGAGAAGCATTGATGTGAGAGAGACACATCGATTGGTTGCCTCCCCCAGGACCCTGACTAGGGCAGAGATCCAACCTGCAACCCAGGTATGTGCCCTTGACCAGGATCAAACCTGCGACCCTTTGGTCTGAGGGTCAACGTTCTAATAGCTGAGCCACACTGGCCAGAGCCTCATAAGCTTTTTGTGTGCCCTCCAAGGTCAGCAAGAGCTCCCACTTTTTCCCCACCCCCCCTCAAATCAACCAGGCTCTGGCACCTGCCTCAGAGCTTGGCCCTCCCTGGAAACCCCACTCTCCTAGCTCTAAGCAGCTCCAAAGGGCCCCTTGGCTCCCCACTGTCACTATGGTATTTGGCCCAGGGTGAGAGCCCCAGCCACCCTCCTTCAGCCCTCCTGCCCTCCAACTCAGCACCCCACGCCTGGTCCTCCCTTCCCCAGTGACTTACCTGCATTTCACATAAGCCTGGGCTCAGCCTGCCAGCTGCTGTAACCCAGCACAGGCCACGCCCACACCCTTCCCACCATCACAGTTGCCTGGGTAGTTCAGTGCTGGGGCTCCAGGGAGGCATCTGCCCCTGTTTGGGACCTCAGGAATGTGAAGTCTGGTGCAAGATGTTGAGGGGTGTGGCACCCTTGGATGGGGAAGGATCAAAGAGTCATGAGTGACTCAGCTCACGAGTGGATCAGAATTTGAGGGATCATCAAAGCCTGGATCGTGTGGGTCCCTGAGGAGGTCCACACCTTCACAACAGGGCATGGTTGGGGGTGGGCAGACAGAGCAGAGGTTTGGAGGGAAGTCTGCAATGTGGGGACATGGAGAGGCCAGAAGTCAGGGTGACTCCCAGTTTCTGTCTTGCCCTATTGGTACAAACCCCATCTGTGCCCCCAGGCCTCGCAGGTCCAAATGCACCCCTTACCACCCTCTGTATAAAAAAGATATGTTCACTGACTTTCTTCCTTCTTTCCTTCCTAAACAAAAATAAAAAAGATATGTTCATATCCTAATGCTTGAACACTGTGAATGCGACCTTACTTGGAAAAAGGGTCTTTGCAGATGTAATTAAGTTAAGAATCTTGAGATGCAATCATCCTGGATTACCTGGGTAGGCCCTAAATCCAATGTGCATGTAAGAGCAGAAGAGAGATACAGACACACAGGAAGAAGGCCGTGTAAAGACAGAAGCAGAGACGGGGGTGATTTTGCCACAAGCCAAGGAAGCCTGGAGCCCCAAACACCAGAAAAGACAAGACGGGGTTCTCTTCACAGATTTTAGAGGGGCCCTGGCCATGCCAACCTTCATTTTGGACTTCTGGCCTCCAGGACTATGAGAGAATAAATTTCTGTTGTTTTAAGCCATGCAGTCTGTGGTCATCTGTTACAGCGGCCCCACCCCAGCACACTAATACACTGCCTTCCTGAGTCAGGGAGCACAGCCCTGTGTCCTCCTCCAGCTCAGGCCCTGTGGGTGTGTGCAGGCCTGATGACAGGGAAAAGGGCTGTCCTGGGCTGGAGAGAACCCTGGAACGCCCAGCTCAGCTCTACCCTCCTGTACACATGATGTCTGTGCCTGCCTGTACCTCTGAGGAACAGGAGCAGCAGGGAGTGCCAGTGCACACCAGGAACACTGCAAGAACTTCAGGGTGCAGGTCTGTGAGGGGCAAATTGGCAGGGTGCACACATCTGTCCTTACTTGGCACTAACATGTGATAGGTGGCAGGTAGACAGCTGGTCAGGTGCACCGGAGGTGACAATACTGATGAGGGTATATATATATGTATGTCCAAATGTGTGTGTATGTGAAGGTGAGGTATTTGTGTCAGCATGTAGGGGGCACCAGTAGGTGGGAGGTACAGATATCTGCCTATGTTCTCAAGGGTACCACCTATGCTCAATTTGGGCCCAGATCAGTGGCTCTGGGCAGTTTCCTGGGGACACGTCTCACACTTGAGCACAGTTTGACATGGCTGGGTAAGTTGTGCACTGCTCAAGGATGCCTACTAAGGCAGTGTTCTCTGCATCTCATTGTGAATGCTTGTATTTATTTTGACAATTTCCCAGCAGCCCCCAGGAGCAGCTGCAGCCGAAATGGGAGGGGCTGGCCCCCTCCAAGGGGACTCCAAGTTGATCATAAGCTGCTTGTCCAATTCTTCCCAGGAGCTTCGGCAGGGTGCCCCAACTCTCCATTTGGAACATACTCCTGGGCAGTGTCCTTATATCTCATGGTCTTCGGCAGGGTGGTGTGTGTGTAGAAGGGTCAGCATATATCAAACTCCAAGCTGATGGGGGAGGTGCCTGGTGCAGGGTATTTACCACACTGCCTCCACCGGAAGTGTTGTTTCTGTACTCACTCATCCAGCCCTCAACATCCCTGTTTTATGGCCAAGGACATTAAACACAAAAAACATAAATCAGCCCTCTGGTGGGCCACTCGTTTCTCAGCTACCCCCATTTGTCCCTCCCTGTGTAGAACTACTGCAATGACTTATTGGTGCTTGTCATTCTCTTTAAACTCTCTGCAGCTCCCTGCCCCCCAGACTGCTGTCCTGAGGGTCACCAGTGGCCCCCACCTGGCTCCACCCAGGCCCTCTCTTTGATGTGCTTCTTTGGCTGGCTTCCAGAAGCCCCAACCCCTGGTGCTCCTTCTTGGTCACCTTTGTAGATTATGGACCTCTCAACGTTGGAGGCTTGGGGTTCAGGTCCTGGTCCTCTGCTGTTCCTGTCCCCGACAACACGATTCCCACATTTTTATCTCCAGTGCAGTGTTTGCCCAACTTCAGTCTCCAAAGTCTCTTCTGGGATGTCCCAAATATGTGCCTCTGGTTCCCCCAGGGCATCCCCTGAGCAGGGGTCCCATCTTGACCTGGGCCAGGATGGTCCCTGAAGGGGTCATGGAAGTGGCCTCCTGACTGGTCCCTTGGGGTCTGCCCTGGCTGCTCCAGCCTGTTTCCAGGGGATCCTATAAACCAGTACATGTCATCCTGCTCAAATCCTGCAGCCCCGGGGAGCCCCCGACCCTGCCTGGAGGCCCCGCTGGCCGCTCCCTGCACCGGCCCAACCACGCAGGCTCCTGTGTGTCGTCTGCCGGCTTGTCCTGTCCGCGCTCTCAGCCCTCCGTCTCTGTCAAGTCCACGCTCATCACCTAACTTCGCTCCGGGTCCACCCTGATCATCTTCCTATCCCAGCACGAAGCGGCTGGTCACACACACGCCGGGCGCGATGCCAGGGTTCACCGAGCTCGGGATGTGCACCGGGGCGGGATTCGCGGCTGGGGTGTCGTCCTGGCGGCGCTCCGCTCTCGCAGGAGCCGCGCACGGAGGGCTCAGCAGCGCTCGGTTCGCGCGTGAACGGGCCGCGCAAAGCTGCAGGTCCCGGGCCCGCCCGCAGGCCGTCCTCGCCGGGCTCGCTAGCGCCCTGGGGGCGGGGCCTCGCGCTCGGGGCGGGGCCAGGGTGCCGGAAGGCCGCGCCCATTGGCCCTGGGCGGCGGGCGCTCGCTCGGGCCGCACCAGCTTCCGCGCGGGGCGGCGGCCGGGACCGCCCCCGGCGGGGCTCAGACGCCGCGCATTCTCAGGACGTAGGTCCCCTGGGCGTGTGTCCAGAACCGCACGGTGTTCTCAACGCCCCGCGGCCCGTGGCCGCGAGGAGCGCGTCCTCCTCCGCTTCGGGCCACCCCTGCTCTCCCTCGTCCCAGTGGTTCCCGTCCACGGGCGGGGCGGGAGGGTTCCGGAAGCCGGCTCCGTGCACTTCCGGGTCGAGGGGCGCGCGGCGGCGGCGGCCGGGCCTAGTCGAGGCTCTCGCTCGGGGGGCGGCGAGCGCCCGGGAGCGGCCGGCGGGGCGCGAGATACCCGGGTACGTGCGGGGCGGCGACGGCCCCGACTCCCTGCCGCGTCCCGTCTGCGCGGGCCGCCCCCGGGTGCCGCGCGCTTTGTCTGCGGCCTGCCGGGCGGGCGCGGCCTGCTCCGCGCTGGCCCCGGGCGGGCGGCGGCGGCAGGGCCCCGCGTGGGCGGGAGGCCTCGCGCCGAGGCTGGGAGGGCGCTCGGCCTGCGGGCGGGTTTCTGGGGTGGCCGTCCTGCTGTCCCGGCCGCGGGGAGCCTCCCCGCCGCCCCGTGGCGTCCGTCTCCCCCCCGCGCGCGCCGGGCGGCCGGTCTGAGCGAGCTGCGGCCCTCCGCCGGCTCGTTTGCAGCGCCTGGGCCCCGTGGCCCCGTGGCCCCGTCCACGTTCGGACAGGCCCGTGCGGTGGAAGCGAAGGCTTCCGCGTCCTGAAGTCACGCAGCCGCCACGACCGCGCTGCGGGCCCAGAGAGGCCGAGGAGCTTGGCGGTGTCCCCCGGCGACTCGGGAGCTTCTCTGCTCGGCTCGTTTGTGCAGCGGCCGCACGGGACCCTGCCGGGAGCCACAGTCCGGCCGGGGTCGCCCCGACAGAGCCTGAGGCCCAGGTCAGGTTGGACGTGGGGTTTAGCACATCTGCCCTCTCCTTGGCCCTACAGGGAGAAGGTTGAGTCGGGTCACAGTCGCGGGCACCTTCTGGCGCCTTGTTGGCACCTGGAGGAGCCTGGCTCTCGTCCCCTCCGCGCCTCTCCCTGTGGCCCCTCCGTGGCCGGCTCAGCTTTCTGACCTCCACGGCAGTTTTGTTTCAAAGTCTGGCAGCCGCTGAGGCCGATGTTGAACAAAGAACCACCCGCGAACCGGATGGGCTGACCCAGGGCCTGGCACAGTGGCAGTTACTACACCACAGACTCTTTCGATTCCTTAGCAGTGGTTGGAATTGCAGTTGCTTTGGGTCCCAGATATGAAGAGAGAGAGGGAGATATTCAGCTTTAATCCTGCCCCCCCCCCTTCCCTGCAGATCTGGAGACTGAGCAAGAGAGCCAGAGAGTGCCACCAGCACCCAAAGGCGGCCAGCAGCTGGGAGGGGCTGTGGGCTTCAGTCTGGAGCCTGTGGGCAGAGGTGCCCATGCGAGTCCACCAGGGGTGTTGGTGCTGGGCTGCTGGTAGATGCTGGCTCTGGAAAGGACGGACCTTCAGAGGCCACCTAGGTCCTTACTTGGGGTGCTGCCAGCGTGTACTGTTGTGTGCTGATGCAGGAAAGGTGTGCAGCCCCAGAACCCGGGCTCCCCCACCCACCCTGGTACAGGGGTAGGAGGAGGCCTTTGGAGGTTCTTAGCAGCTGTAGTGAAGGGCTGCTAGGCCTGAGGGGCTTTGCCCACAGGTGCAGGCCCTCCTGGAGTTCAGCTGCATTCCCAATCCCATTTCTGGTAACCCCCTGTGCCACACCCCATTGTGGCCTCATGGACCTCTGAGGCAGGCACTGCCGCTGCCCCTTACAGGTGGGCCTGGGTCTGCGCACACCAGGGAGAAGACAGGTGGTTCTGCCTTTGCCTTTGTGTATGTGAAGCATGGCCTTAAGGTGAGGATCTGGTCCTGGTGCTGCACCCACACTGGGCTCCAAGGCAGCCTTGAGGGGTCTGCCTTTCGGGGAGCCTGAAATGTTCTCTGACAGGTTAGTGTGTGAGTGCTCACCTTCTTTATAAGTGTGTTTCTGTAGAGCAGGGCAGGTGTGGGGCAGTTGTCCCAGGATGGCGCTGTGGCGGCCAGTGGGAAGAATCACAGCTGTGACCAGAGAGTTACAGGTCTTCTCACCTGGACACTGCAGCCGTTGCACCACGGGACAGGTAGAGGATGCTCTAACTGCTAGAGGGGCTGTGGCCGTCACTTTGGTTTGTGTGTATTCAGCAGGAGTTGTAGCCGGGATGTGGGTGCAGGACAGGCAGGGTCCCACAGCGTTACTGAGGCCCCACGCACTGGGGGTGCTCACCCTTTGTTGAGTGGGACTGAGGCTGGTTTTCTTAACTTCAGGGCACTAGTTTACGAGTTAACAGGTCCATGAGACCCTCTCCAAGTTTACTGTTTCCGGATATAAGCAACATATGGCATTTGACAGTTTCATTAAATGCACCTGCCTCGCTATGGTTCTAGTGTCTGGGGCTCTGTGTGGGAAGTGGGGCTGCTAGGTCTGAGTTGGCCCTGGCACCACATGGGCTTGTCTTCTGGGGGCCTGGGAGCATCTGTGCTGGTGGTGCCCCTGCCCTGGTCACCTGCATGTGGGATCTGAGAACAAGAGCCTGGCCTGGCTCCTGGCCACTCTGCCGGCTGAGCCCATTCCCCGGTTCTGGTTTGTGCCTCTGCCTTGGTGTGTCACAGGACCCTTTCCTCTGCATGGGGGCTGGGCTTGGTGGGAAGCACGCCGTGCCACAGGGAGGGCTGTCCTCACTGTCAGTTCACTGAACGACTCCCTCTGGGGGCTTCCTCTCAGGGTCACCTGGGAAGTGGGTAAGTAGCATTGGTGAGAAAGGAACCCTTATTTGAGGACCAGAGTAGAGGCCCTGGTGTAGGAACAGTGTGTCTTGCTACACTTGGGATGTCATTTGTCTAGAACTTCTGTTACCTGGGGAGTGGCCTTGCAGAGTAGGTAGGACAGGTGTCCCCACTCGGAGGTCAGGAGCCCAGGAGGGGGTTGACATGGCAGAACCCAGCCTTTGCTCCCCATGGTCCCGTCCTACCCCGGGGATGTTTTCAGGGTGAGCTAATGCTCCCAGTGGGGGTGAGGTGAGTGGAGGCCAGGCGGACCGGCCTTGGCTGACGGGGCCCTGCTTGTCACCTGGCCTTCTGGTGACCGCCCTTGCTGAAGGCCCTGCTTTGCCTCTGCCCCATTAGCCACTTCCTGCAGACAGAGCCGCCAGCTGAGGCTAGATTAGGTTTGCTGAGTTGAGATCTGACTGAATGTAGCTCTGTGGATGAGAAGCTGTCTCCATGCACAGCTTTGGGATCAGCATCTGTGTGTGTTCTCTCTCCCAACTCAGCCTCCCTGACCTGCAGATGGCCACATGTCACCAGGGATGCGATGGGTAGAGTCATTTTTCCTGAAGGGGAGTACTTTGTAGACTGGTACAGTTGGGAATGACTTGACTCTGGTTTCTTTCAGACTGAACTCCAATGTCCAGCAATGGATGACGACAGCCTGGATGAGCTTGTGGACCAAAGCCCGGGACCCGATGTACACCCGCGACTCAGTGCTGCCAGCCTGGCCAGTGACACTGGTGAGCCACTGCCCCTCTCCTGCCACAACTGAGTGCGAGGGCTTGTCGCTGGCACCTCTCAAGAGGAGCAGGGTCACCATGTTCTCACTGCATTGTTGGCGCTTGGAAAAGCTGAGCTCCCACCTGGCCAGGTGGCTCAGTTGGTCAGAGTGTTGTCCTGTACACCAAAAGTGTTGTGTATCCGATCCCCAGTTGGGGTGTGTATGGCAGTCAACTGATGATGTTGCTTATTCTCTCTCCCTAAAATAAATATGTCCTTGGGTTAAAATAAAATATAAGCTGAGTTCCCTTTTGGTAGGTGTCCAGATGATGTCTACGTGTTTTTCAATCTTATTCTTTGTTTTTATTCCTCACATGAGGATATTTTTCTATTTATCATCAGATAGAGTGGGAGGGAGGGAGAGAGAGAAACAGAGACAAACATTGATGTGATAGAGCCACATCGATTGGTTGCCTCCCTCACGACCCAACCAGGGCCGAGGCCAAACCATAACCGAGGTATGTGTCCTTGACCAGAATCGAACCTGAGACAAATTGGTCTGCGGGCCGATGCTCGAACCGCTGAGCTAAACCGGCCACGGCTTATTCTTTGTTTTTTTTGTTGTTGTTGTTATTTTTTTTTATCCTCACCCGAGGATATTTTTCCATTTTTTGTACAGATAGAGTGGGAGGGAGAGAGAGGAAGGGAGAGAGAGTGAGAAACATCGACGTGAAGGGACATATCGAGTGGCTGTCACCCGCATGACCAACCAGGGCCGGGGACAAACTGCAACCGAAGTACGTGCCCTTAGCGGGAACCGAACCCGGGTCTCTCCGGACCGCAGGCTGACACTCTAACCGCTGAGCCAAACTGGCCAGGGCTATTCTTTGTTTTTAAATTGCAGAAGTAGTACATTCTTTTTTTTTTTTTCCCTTATCCTCACCTGAGGACATTTTTTCTTTTTTTGTTCAGATAGAGTGGGAGGGAGAGAGAGAGAGAGAGAGAAACATCGACGTGCAAGGGGCACATCGAGTGGCTGCCACCCGCACAACCCAACCAGGGCCAGGGACAAACTGCAACCGAGGTACATGCCCTTAGCGGGAACCGAACCCGGGTATCTCTGGACCGCAGGCCAATGCTCTAACCGCTGAGCCAAACCAGCCAGGGCAGAAGTAGTACATTCTTATGTCTTCTTCTTGTTAATTCTCACCCAAGGATATTTTCCCATGAATTTTTAGATAGAGTAGAAGAGAGGGGGAGAAAGACATCAATGTGAGACAGACACATCAATTAGTTGCCTCCCACATGACCCCGACCAGGGCAGGAAATCAAACCTGCAACCCAGGTGCGTGCCTTTGATGGGGAATCGAGCCCTTTGGTCTGTGGGCTGATGCTCTAACCTCTGAGCCTAACTGGCTGGGGCTATCTTCATTTATTTATTTAGTTTTAAGTATTTTTTGTAATTGATTTTAGAGAGAGAGGAAGTGAGAGGGAGAGATAGAAACATTGATGAGAGAACACATCGATTGGCTGCCTCCTCCTGCATGCCCTTCACTGGGGATCGGGCCCACAACCTGGGCATGTGCTCTGGCCAGGAATTGAACCAGTGACCTCTTGGTGCCTGGGACGATGCTCAACCACTGAGCCACACCGATAGGGCATTTATTTTTGTTTTTTTAATATGTTTTTTAGCCCTGGCCGGTTTGGTTCAGCAGTTAGAGTGTTGGCCCGCGAACCAGAGAAACCAGGGTTTGGTTTCCACTAAGGGCATGTACCTTGGTTGTGGTTTGTCCCCAGCTCCGGTTGGGTTCGTGGGTGGTGACCAGTCGATGTGTCTCTCTCACATCTATGTTTCTCTCTGTCTCTTCCTCTCTCTTTCCCTCCTGCTCTATCTGAAGATAAATGCAAAAATTTCCTCACGTGAAGCCCTGGCTGGTTTGGCTCAGCGGTTGGAGTGTCGGCCAGTGGATCAGAGAGTCCTGGGTTTGGTTCCCGCTAGGGGCATGTACCAAAAAAAACCCAAAAGTTTGATTTTTTTTTTTTTTTTTTTTTGAGAGAGAGATAGAAACATTGATGAGAGAGAAGCATAGATCGGCTGCCTCTTGCCCGCCCCCTACCCGGGATTGAGCCCACAACCTGGTCATGTGCTCTGAATGAGAGTCAGCCTGAGACTTCTTGGTGCATGGGACGATGCTCACTCCACTGAGCCGCACCGGCTGGGCTCTGTTGTCATTTTTTTTTAAAGGGGAGGAGGAGGGATAGAGAGCGAGAAGCATCAATGTAAGAGAGACGCATTGATTGGTTACCTGTCACAGGACCCCGACTGGGGATCAAACCTGTAACCCAGGGCAGGAGTAGGGAAGAGGGTGTCAGTAGGGGAAAAAGGAGGGACATCTGTGTATGTTCTTTTTTTAAAATTCTCACTTGATGTTTTTCCATTTATCTTCAGATAGAGCAGGAGGGTGAGAGGAAGAAAGAGAGAAACATCAACTGGTTGCCTCTTACATGACCCCAACCGGGCTGGGGATGAACCGCAACTGAGGTACATGTCCTTGGCCGGAATCAAACCTGGGACTCTGATCCACAGGCCAACGCTCTAACTACTGAGCCAAACCGGCCAGGGCTGTAATACTTCCAACAATAAGCATAAATTACAAAACAGAGACAAAAATCCTGCAACCCAGGTACGTGCCCTTGACCAAAATTGAACCTGTGACCCTTTTGTCCACAGGCTGATGCTCTAACTGCTGAGCCAAAAGGGCTCTTTTTTTCTCATTCTCATTGCAAGCAATACAGATGTAAATAGAGCAAAAGGTTTCTACCTTTCCTACATCTGTCCTCGCCCAGCCCCACTTGCTGTTCCTCCGGCAGCCAGGGCTCGCCCGTGCAGGTGCCTCCTGCATGCTCCGCACCTGTGCACAGGCCCGCTCTGCCTCGTGTGACTGCCCCACCCTGTGTTTCTGCCTGTCTCGGTGCAGAGGAGAGCAGTGACGATGACAGCGGGGGCTCCGCGGACGACGTGGGCAGCGAGCTCAGCGATGGCACGGAAGGAGAAGACGAGGGGGACCTGGAGGAGGGGTCTGGTGAGAACGCTGCCATCGAGCGGCTTTCTGTGTGTCCTCACTGTGACGGGACAGCTGGCCATAAAACATCCTGGTGACATGGTTGCCTTGATCACGCTGAGGCGTGAGGAGTGGGCAGAAAATCCTTGGTGGATCAGGACTTGCGGGACAGTCTCGGCTGTGAGTCCCCCGTGTCTCTAGGTACTGGTTACTTTGTCGGGACAGTTCCCTTCCGTTTGATGACACGATCTGCTAGGCCTCTTCCCAGGTGAGGGCAGGAGCTTAGGGGTGCAGAGTGCAAAGCCGCAGGAGTGGGCTGTCCCAGGGACAGACAGCCTCTGTACTTCCTGGCAGAATGAGCAGAGGGCTCGATGCTCTGGCCAGGCCCCTGAGCAGGACTGGGTGGCTCCAGGGCTCTGGCCTGTGCTTGCACTTGTTCTGTTGCCCAGGACCCCTGAGGGCGCTGGCACGGGCAGGTTGATGTTGTGCCCTTGAACTTCTGTGCCGGGACCTTTGCTGTGAGGGGCTATTGTGCTGCCTGAGGGCCGTGCTGCTGAGCTTTGGGTGCGTTCGTGGTGCCTTCTTCCCTGTCCCTTCCAGCCACCTGGCTGCTGCGTGGCCTGCAAGGCCCCCAGGGTGGACCGCCCTGTCCCAGCCCACTTCTCGTCGCCTCCCTGCAGGAGGGGCACACTTAGCCCTCTGCCAAGGGTGTTGGGCCCTGCAGTCTGCTCACCATCTCTTTCCTTCTGACATGGGCATCGTTCAGGAGACTGTGGTCCGAACGCATGTACCGTGATCTGTCATCACAGCCTTCGCGCTCCTGTGGTTGCGAGTGTGAGCATGTCCCAGAGAGGAGCCCTCCCGTTCAGGATGGTGCTCGTGAGGTAGTGGGAGTGGCGATGTCCATCACAGTGCGATGGCGGTGGTGTGGTTGGTGACATGCTCTTTCAGAGTGAGGTCTGAGTTCTGAGCAGGGACACGGGGTCTCTCCCAAGAGTGTGGCTCTCCTGCTTGTTTCCCAAGGTCAGGCTGGGCTGGGCTTCCCTGCACAGGTCCCACACAGGCCCTGGCCGTGGACAGGGCTGAAGGAGGAGGACGTGAGGTGCTGTCAGTCCATCTCCAGCAGAGGGCTGAGGGCCTGTGGGTAGAGGACTGGGGCCAGGGGCTTGAGGGAGGGCAGGAGCCAGCTTGTTTGGGGTCCTCGCAGTCCATGAGCCCACCACCCAGCAGCAAAGACTGGCATGAAGAAGAAATTGCTATTGGGTAATAGATGCCAAAAAGGGGTGAACAGGGGTGTCGTGGGAAGGGGAAGAACTCGGTGGACCTAGGGTGGGGAGGGGAAGCTTCCAGAGAAAGGCGCATCTCAGCAGTGTTCTGAAGGGCCGGAGGTGTTAGCCAGGCAGTGTGGATGTGGGGCTGAGGGTGGGGTGCTGTCAGGGACAGTTGGCACAGAGCCAAGTGCCCAGAAGGGATGGTGGCTAGGCGTGTGGCCTCGGGGTGAGGAGGCACGGCGTGTAGTCCTAGCTGAGAGCAGGTGAGACTCAGTCCAACCCTCTGTTCCTCCAGCACCATCTCGAGATGTGTGGGGAGTGGCCATGGCTCTGCAGCTGTGGGGGGTGGTTAGGCGCTGAGAAGGGTTTCTTCAAGGGCATCGGCACCTGCCCGCTCACAGGCCTGCGCTGTGCAGGTCCGCTCCCAGGGGAGCTCTCTCTGCCCACCCTGCTCCTTTTCCTGCCCTCATGTTTGTTCCTGAGAATCACTTGTGTTGCTATTTGCTGAGTTTCCAACTTGGATATTGTCTTTCAGGTCTCACCATGAAAGGTGAGATGTTAGGACTCTCCCTGTTCCTTCCCAGCTCCGCGCTGTGTACACGACTGCCCCGCAGGGAGCTGTACACACGCCCATCTGCTTAGGGTGCCGCCCTTCCTTGTCAGCCTCATCTTCTTGATGCCAGGCCCCAGTCGCTCTGTCTCCTTCCAGTATGGTCATCATGGAAGCCCCGCCCTTCTTGGAGACCCACCCTCATCTGCACTGGGGTTCCTGGCCTGCCACCAGCTGCCACACGAGGCTAGCTCCCTGGCAGGGCGAGGAGGCAGGCGGCGCGGCCTTGCACCCTGTGTGCGTCTTTGTCCACTCTCACTCTTGGTGGTCGCTGCCAGAGATGTCGAAGGCATGGCTCTGTGGTCCGCGGTGCTGCAGAGGTTCGGGGGGGCTCTGCTGGCCGACCCTCTGCCTTTCGTCTAGTTGTTGAGCCTTCCGAGGCCCATCAGAAGCATCAGCCCTGCGGCCTCCACCTGCGTCTGCCCCTGGTCCCCAGCAGAATGGGGATGAGCTGTCGCTGTGCTTGCCACTTGCTCTCTCCCGATGTTTTGTGGACCCCACTTTATTAGTTTTTTCTTGCCACGTAACAGATGAGCACACACACAGCAGCTCAGTGCAGCACGCTCGACCTCTCTGCTCCTTGGGTCAGCTGTGCAGGTGTGGGCGTCTGGCTGCCTGCTCAGTGCCACCAGCCGACCTCAAGTGGTGGGGCTGCAGTTCTCGTCTGAGGCCCAAAGGCCTTCCTGTCGGCTGGGCACTGTTCACAGTTCTGGAGGCAGCGGTGCCTCTCCGACCGTAGCCAGCTGGAGGGCACTGCTGTTGAAGAGCTCCCCTGATAGGCTGCGCCGACCTGGTAGCTTCTGCGCCACGGGACAGCAGGGTCACGAGGCAGTAGCCGAGGTGGGCACTGGTCAGTGCCGTACTCCGAGGGATTGGACGGGCTGCCACACCTGTCGTCTTTCCTCTGTCCCTGTGCACTTGGGTCTTCGTTTTAGAAGAGCTTGGGAAGGGTAGAGAACGAACCACGTCGAACCTGCTGTGTTCAACCAGAAGCGTCTGCCTGCGTCTCTGTGGTGCAGCCCAGTCTCGAGACCGCTCAGACACTGGCGGGCCAGCACTCTTGTGCCACCTCGACTGGTGAGGGCCCGGTGCTTTTTTCTTTCTTCTTTATTGTTTTAGAGAGAGGAGGTGAGGGAGAGAGAGAGAGAAACATTGATGAGAGAGAATGTCGATTGGCCGCCTCCTGCATGTCCCCCACTAGGGATTTGGTCCACACCCTGGGCATGTGCCCTGACCAGGAATTGAACTGGTGACCTCTTGGTGCAAGGTCAGCGCTCAGCCGTTGAGCCACACCGGCTGGGCAGAACCTGTGCTTTTTATATCTCAAAAGAAAGCAAGGTAGAGGACCACTGAGGGCAATGTTGTCTGAGGTTGGGTGGTTCTTACACACCACGTTTGGGCAGGGGTTGGGAGTGTGTGCCACCCTTGGAGGCTGCGGGCCAGGGCAGTTAACCCAGTGGTGCCCTGCCCCGTGGGGTCTGATTCTGCATCAGGGCAGGGGTTTGAGCTGCTGTGGCTGCTCAGCCAGTGTCATGTTCCTTGGCTTGAAGCAGCTTTAGGTGAGGTGCCTGGTGACGGTCACACCTGGAGGGGCTGCGAGACCCTGATTCCTGGGGGTGGCAGCAGCCTTCCCCTGCTCTAACCCACAAATGACACGTTTCCCCTTGCTCAAGGATCTGAGGATTCTGAAGACGAGGAGGACATGGAAGTAGTGGCGGCGGCAGACACTCAGGGGAAGCTGGAGTCCAGCGGCGCATTTAATTCTGATGACGATACCGAGAGCTGCCCAATTTGTCTCAACGCTTTCAGGGACCAGGCTGTGGGGACGCCGGAGAACTGTGCCCATTACTTCTGCCTGGACTGTATCGTGGAATGGTCCAAGGTAAGGTGGCTTCTCTGAGGTTCTTCCTCCAAAGGGACGGATAAGCCCTGTCTGTTTATGTGACCCAGCCTGTGCCTGGCCTCTTGCCGGGTCCGACTCACTCTGCAGCAGAAGTTGGGGCCACAGGATTGAGTGGTTGAGTGGTCTTGGCTTCCTCCTGTGCCTCTGGCTCTCAGGTTTGGGAGATGTGCACTGTATGGAGGCAGGAGGGGAGCACTGTTGATGGGTCAGTGACCCGAGGGGCAACCTGTGGCCCAGAACTCAGCGGTGCTCAGGTGCATGGTGCTGTGCGGTGGGGTTGTCATTTCACCGACACAGAGGGTGCGTGAGGGTTGACAGCGCTGAGTCATGGTGACCTGCAAGTCAAGGGCCATCCAAGAACAGGGAAGGGTATGTAGCAGAAACCTGCAGCGTGTCTCCTGATGAACTTGAGAAGTGCTACTCCTACTTTTTAAACTGTCTGTGAAAATCCCAAAGATGTAGACTGGTTTGGGGTGAGTGATGTGCATCCCATGCTGACACTGTCCTGGGAAACTCACCTCTGCCCCAGTTCTGTCTCCTCTCGCACCCGCCCACAACCACCAGCGTGGACAGTGAGGTCACCCCTCCACAATGATGGTGTAGCCTGAACACCCAGCCCCGTCTCCCTGTTCCCCAGATAGCTCAGAAACATTCTGTACAGCGAGGTTGTGTGACCTGGGACAGAGACATGCTTCTGCTGGCCACGTGGCTGCTGGCACTGTGGGTCCTCGGAGGTGTCTCGCCACCTCTGGTGCTCAGTGCCTGTCTGCCGGCGGCCTACAGCCCAGCTCAGATTCAGGCTGAGATTTTCGGGCAAACAAAGCCCCCCCTCAAATAAGGAACACGACAGTGTGTGTGCCTTCTGTCTTCACCAGCACAGACACTGTCAAGGTTGTTGGATACGAGGTGAGTAAAGGTTGAGGATTAAGTGGACTTAGGAGTAAGTTATACAAAGACTTTTAAGGGGCTTTTCTAAGACAGTTGAGAGCAAGTGAAGGAGGACCCACTGTCACTACAGAGGGACAGTGGCGATGCAGGCTCCCAGCGCCCGGCGCTTGATGGGGTGTGCGGTTCCCACAGGAGAGAAACTGCCGAGACCTGAAGGGAGAAGGCATCTCCTGGTGTTACGATTTCTCAGCTGTGTTGCTGGTGGGATGGGTCTGGGAGCGGGAGCCAGGCCGCGGAGCACGGAGATGGTGCACTCAGTGGATGGCGGAGTGCCTCACGTGGTGGGGAGGGCTCTCCTGTGAGTGTGTGCGATGGTCGGCAGCTCGCACTGTGCAGAGCCGTGTGGCCTGCGGACAGGGCTCACGGACATCAGTGCAGGGTCGTTGGGGTTCACAGGACACCGCTGTGTTTGTACGCCAAGGCGACAGTGCTGCAGAGCCAGCACATGTGGGGCGTGCCCACCCACAGGAGTGCAGGGGACCCCGAGAGACAGCACACGTGGGGCGTGCCCACCCACAGGAGTGCAGGGGACCCCGAGAGCCAGCACACGTGGGGCGTGCCCACCCACAGGAGTGCAGGGGACCCCGAGAGACAGCACACGTGGGGCGTGCCCACCCACAGGAGTGCAGGGGACCCCAAGAGACAGCACACGTGGGGCGTGCCCACCCACAGGAGTGCAGGGGACCTCGAGAGACAGCACACGTGGGGCGTGTCCACCCACAGGAGTGCAGGGGACCCCGAGAGACAGCACACGTGGGGCGTGCCCACCCACAGGAGTGCAGGGGACCGAGAGTCGGCGGAGGAAGGGCCCAGTGCATCTGGCACACATGTCTGATGGTGTGCACGTGGGGCTTCCTGGTGGGGAGCCAGAGGTGCCCAGGCACCCAGAAGGACCGGGGGCTTGGGTGGTGGCTGCATGGGCCGTATTGAGTCATACAGTTAAATAAGTGCATCTTGTTGTACGCAACAAGGAAATGGTGCACGTAGACACTGGTAATAAGGCAAGGAGGAGATATTCGCAGCATATCTGATGAGTGGCACCCAGCTTTACTGAGAAATGTCGAGTAGTCTGACAGGAACATTGGTAAAGGCTTGTAACGTAGGAGGCCTGTAGCCAGCCCCTGTCCCCGTGGTCCTTGTCCACCCCATTCCCTCCTGCCTGTGAGCGAGCCTCTGCCAGCCTTTCCCCCCTTCCACTGGGCGGCACGTGGAGACGTTGGAAACGCCTGATTTTCAGTGTGCAGCACTTTGGACAGGTTCTGGGGGTCTGTTTCAGTGTAATGTTGGCGGTGAGAGGGATTGCACAGGCCCTGACTGGTTTCTGTCTTTTACAGAATGCCAATTCTTGTCCAGTCGATCGGACCATCTTTAAATGCATTTGTATCCGAGCCCAGTTTGGTGGAAAAGTACTGAAGAAGGTGAGTGTCAGCACTGTGAGGGGAATCCTACTTGAGTCTGTGACGTGGTCCCTGTCTCGTGGGAAAACATGCTTTCAAAGTTGCTTTCCTGAGCCGGGTGAGGATTGGTTCCGTGCTTCTTAAATCCACCAAAATGCTGTTTGCAGCCGAGAACGGGCAGGCTGTCTGCCTGTGTGTGTTCTGGGAGGAGGCAGGGCAGGTGACGCAGAGCCAGCAGTTCCCCAGGCTTCCTCCTCCTCACCCCTCACGCCTCCTGCGTCTCGGCTGTTCTCAAGCCACAGTGGCCACACGGGGAGGGGAGCTCAGGCGCAGCCTGGGCCTGGGCAGGAGGCCGGTTCTCCTGGGACCAGGTTTTGGGTGGCTGTTCTGCTCTTTAGAGACTTGAAGAGCCTCCACACATCTTCTGATGCCGAGGTCGAGTGTCGGAGAGACCCCTGGAGGTGCTGCTCAGGCCCGAGCACAGGGAGCCCGAGGGCTTCGCAGCTGCAGGCCTGCTTCTGGTCCACCAGGCACACAGAGCCGCAGGCGCCTGCTCGGGTCTGCTCTGCCAGGCAGCTTTGGGCCTGCGCGGGCCTCCTGTCCCTGCCTGGGGCCCTCTGCATGCCTGCCCCAGAGCCTGGGCCTTGGGGGGCATCAGCAGTTTTTCAGTAGGCACTTGAGTTGCTTGGAGAAACTGCCAAGTAAGTATGTGGGCCCCGAGCTCCTCTTCTAGTGACGGGAGGTGCAGGGGGAGAGTCCCTGAGAGAGCAGTCTGACGGAGACCCAAGGCCACACAGGTACAGGGCCTTGGGTCGGCCTGGCTCCTTGCCTGCACCAGGGCACAGGCAGAGGGCATGTCTGACTTGTTGCCTGGGGCTGCTGCCAGCTGCCAGAAGTGTCTGGGGTGGGGCTGGCAGGTGTGAGCAGGGAGCATGCCCACAGATCCTGCACCTGACCGTCTGAGTGATTACAGCTCAGGGACGGTGCCCCTAGAACGCCTGCCATGTGGGAGGGTCTCAGCACAGCCGTGACTGAGGGTGGAGTCTGTTGTGTCCTTGATTCTCGAGAGGTCAGTGCCTGGTGCCTGAGGCTGCTTTCCTGCTCTTGCAGTCACCTCCTGCAGCCCCGGAGCCCTGCGCCCTGCGCCCCTGCTTCCTTCTGCCCGGGCTGTCCCGCGCGCCGCTTTGTTACATGTTGGACCCGGTTTTTCTTGGTTAACTACCTTGAAACTTTCAGAGAACATAAACATCGGGGTGTGTGTGTGTGTGTGTGTGTGTGTGTGAATTTCAAGCCTCGGACGGTCAGCGCAGCACACCGAGCTCATGCTGCCTGTACAGCTCTGGGCAAACGGCAGGACAGTCCTCTGTGTGGACCGGGCTGGGCTTCGTTTGCCATGGGAACAGCAGTGCCTCCTGCCTCCAGATCCCAGTGGAGAGCGCCAGAGCCAGAGAGGAGGAAGAGGAGGACCCGACCTTCTGTGAGGTGTGTGGCCGCAGTGACCGGGAGGACCGCCTGCTCCTCTGCGATGGCTGTGACGCTGGGTAAGTGTGGGCCGCCTGCTGCCCATCCACAGCTGGAGACACAGACTGAGGCCCAGTGTGGCCATTGGAGGGAAGCCTGCAGTGTTGCTGGCCGGGTGTCGTCCCACAGGCCTGCACTGTGGCCTCGGGGCCGCCGGGGCCGCCGCAGCCGGATGTCTGTGTCCCAGCACCTGCAGCACTGCTGGCCGTCAGCCTGTGGGTTTTATGACATTGGCCGGGAGCCAGCAGGCCCCGTAGGCCCTTTTGATCATTGTCATTCATACCCTCCACATGGCCCCAAAACACTCTGAGGCTCCTTGGAGAGAGGCACATAGCACGTCTAGACAGAAAGGGCCAGGGAGACCGAGAACTGGGGACGCAGGGCCGGCCCTCCCTTCTGCCCTGCCAGGCTGCAAAGGGGGCTCCCGTGACTGCCCACTCTTGCAGTTGCTCGGCCTGTGCCCACCCTGGCTGCCAGGGCCTCTTTCTGTCACTGTTGGGTCATGCCTGTCCTACAGCTTCCGTGGGTGTCACCTTGTATGTCTGGAAAATGTGTCTGCCATGAAATTGTGAGAGGACTCTGGAAACCGTTGCTTTGGGGGCACATACCCCAAAAGGTAGTGAAATAATCCAATCCAGGGAGGCAGGTGGGTCTGGAACTTTCTGTTGGGCAACGAGGAGCAGTTTTGCGGGCTGGGCTGTGAAACAGGAGACAGGAAGGCTGGAGCCCTGGGGAGGGGGGGGGGGGGCTTCTGTGGGTTCCAGTGCAAACTGCCCCAGGCTTTGGCTCTGTCCCCGCCCTCTGGTCTCACACATCCTCCGGGCGTCTTGCAGCCACGTCCACGTTTTAACGGTTCACCGTCCTGTTGGTCTTTGCCTTTTGGGACTCCTCAAAGTTTCTGTGTCTGCAACCGATGGCTCCTCAGTGTGGGGTCTCTGTGGTCTGGAGGACGAGTGGGGCCTGGTGTCCCGCAGGCCCGAACATCCAGTGCCTGCCCTGGCCACCGCTGCGCCCAGGGACGGTTTGCCGTTGATGAGTGTGAGCAGCTGAGCAGTGCAGTGTCACAGGGACATGGCCCAGCGGGCAGCCAGCGTGGGAACTGCACGCACAGGCCCTCCCTGGGCAGTGCAGGAAGGGCCTGGGACGCCTGGGCAGGAGAGCCTGAGTGCCTGGCCCCGTCTTCGCAGCCCCCACCCCACCCCCTGCTGGATGGTGGCCTCTGGGGCACCGGTGACCCTGGGTGGGTCTGTGGAGCTTTCGCTCACGAGGCCTCTTTATCCTTAAGCTTTGAATTGAGGCTGTAATTCTTAATTCCGCTTATTCTTCACATCAAGGTCTGTTCTTAATTTGAGTAACTTTCACAGTAACTCTGAGGGTTTTATAACTTTGCTAATTTTTTTCAATGTCATAAAGGAGAAATGCACGTTGAACGTATTGACTTTATTTTCATGTGCTTGAATCACTTAACAGATAAAACAAGCCAAGTACATAAAATCTTAACAAATACCATGATCCCTAGACTTCTAGACCCGTATGTGAAAAAGTTTTACAGTAATTCTTTCAAGTTAAAAATTACAAGTCTTGCCTGGCTGGTGTGGCTCAGTGGTTGAGCATCTACCCTGCACCAAGAGGTCACCAGTTTGATTCCCGGTCAGAGCACATGCCCAGGTTGTGGGCCTGATCCCCAGTAGGGGGCATGTAGGAGGCGGCTAGTCGATGTTCTCTCTCATCGATGTTTCTACCTCTCCCTCCCTCTCCCTTCCTCTCTAACATCAATAAAGAAAAAAACATTTTTTTAAAGTTACAATTCTAGCCCTGGCTGGTTTGGCTCAGCAGTTAGAGCATCAGCCCTCGGACCAAGGGGTCTCAGGTTCGATTCCCAGACAAGGGCATGTATCTCAGTTGCAGGTTTGATCCCCGGACTCTGTCAGGGTCTACGGGAGGCAACTGATCAATGTGTCTCTCTCACATCAATGTTTCTCTCTGTCTCTCTCCCTTCCATCCTCTCTAAAAAAAAAAAAATCAATGGAAAAATATCCTCTGGTGAGGATGAACAACAGCAGCAAAATCACAACTCTAAAATTATGTCACTAATTTAAAAACAGGATCACAGACCATTTTTATATCCGTGAAAATGCCAAGTTCTTTCAGTATTGCATAAAGTAGGCACTGGTTACTACCTTAGATCTATGTGCGTGTGTGCGTTCGCATGCGCGTGCTTGTGTGTGTATGTGTATGTGTGTGTGTGTGTGCTTAATCCTCACCTACAGATATTTTTTCATTACTTTTTCGATGGAGTGGGAGGGAGTAAAGGGGAGAGAGAGAGAGAGAGACAAACACTGATGTGAGAGACACATCGATGGACCGCCTCCTGCACGACCCTGACGGGCCAGGGAATGAACCTGAAACCAAGGTGTGTGCCCTCAACCAGGAATCAAATCCACGGCCCTTCAGTTCGCAGGCTGACACTCTAACAACTGAGCCAACCGCCAGAGCCAGCTTCTGATTCTTTAAATGTGAAGGCATGTATTCACTGGGGAGGACCTTAGGCCTCTGGACCATGTAGCGGGCTGTCGCAGTGGGGTAGGAGGACAGTGTTTGGCTGAACGGGAGCCAGGGGTTTCTGAGCAGGTGAGGCTGCGGGTGCTGTCCTGGTGGGCGGTGGGCACTGGCTGCTGGCCTGGGGACCTGCCTGATGCCCATGGCCTCTGCTCTAGCCCCTGGAGCTTGGGGAGGAGAGCAGCGGCTGGACCATCCGATCCTTGGAAGGCAGGAGAAGTTACCACTCAGTTCCTGGTTTTGCTCCTGAGACTGTGACGGGGGTGGGGATCTTCCCAGGCTGGAGTCATCTTGGAGCTCTGGGCTGCTCCCCATGGTTCTCGTGTGAGGTCTCAGGAGGGTTCACGGAGAGCGGTGTCCTCCTGTCCGGCCTGGGTCTCACTGGACCCTCAGCTGTCTCAGCAGTGTGAGTGGTGTGTGGTCATTAACCTGAACTGGAGCTGGGCTTGGCCTCGTAGGGTTCACATGCTGTTCTGGGGGTTTGCCTGCTCAGGGCCGTCTGGGGTCTGGGGAGAAGATTGGAGGGTTTTGACACAGTTGGCCCATGGCAGCGGCAGTCCCCAAACTGCTTTTCTTGGAAACTGGACAGCAGCAGCTGACGCAGACCACGACCAGCAGCACTTCTGACAACTTCCTGCAGACAGCACTGTGTTAGCTCAGGCCGAGGGGCCTCGGAGCCGCCTGAAGTGGGAGGGCGGGCGTGGGCAGGCGCTGACTCGGCACAGACCAGCCTCCCGGGCCGAGTGGCTACGTGGCACTTGCCAGTCCGCTGCGTAGCCCGCCCGTCATGCCACATTCTTAGCCCGGTCCCTCCATGCAGTGCGTCTCCTGTGGGGACTTTGGACACCATTGGGGGCCCCTTTGGAGGGAGGAGATGCCCAGAAGCTTAGGTAGAGGTCTATCCCCCCAAAACACTGAAAGGAAGGACCACAGGAACTTAGAAGACCAGGGTCTTAAGTGTGACATACCAGTTGCCTGAGCAGGGCGGCCTCTGCGTGTCCGCTGGGGACTGGGTGGAATCCATACTTCTGACAGGTGGTTTCTGGCTATGAACACTCTTTTGCTCTGTCCTAACAAGGCTTTCCTGTGCTGGGGGGAGGGAGCCCTATGTCCCTCATACTTACGAGGATCAGGGTCATACTCATGACCTCGTTGAACCCTGATCACTCCCAGGGCCCCACCCCCAAATGCAGGAGCATGTGCATCTGGGCCGCAGCAGGCTGCACTGTGGGCTTGGGCACCTGGACACCTGCTCTGGCTCTGAGCTGTGGCGTGAGCTGGGCCTGGTCTAACTGGCCCTCTGCTCCTGCAGGTACCACATGGAGTGTTTGGAGCCCCCCCTGCAGGAGGTGCCGGTGGACGAGTGGTTCTGTCCAGAATGTGCCGGCCCTGGAGTCGCTGCCCCTCCTGCAGGTATCGCTGCCCCCTCGCTGGCTGCTCTGCCCAGGGCAGGGTCATCAGGGCTCATCAGGCGGGGTGGGGGCTGGGGGTCAGGCTTCCGCCCTGCCTGTCCGGAGGCCCTGCCTGTCCGGAGGCCCTGCCTGTCTGGAGGCTGACAGTGGCTCGGGGTCTCTTTTCCTCCAAGAAGCAGACCCCGTGACCGAGGAGGAGGTCTCCCTGCTCTTGGTTGATGTGGTGCCCACCGCCAGCCGGCTGCGGCCTCGTGCAGGGCGGATCCGGGCCATCGCCAGGACTCGGCAGAGCGAGCGCGTCCGAGCCACCGTGAACCGGAACCGCATGTCCACTGCCCGGACCTTTGAGGTGGGTGCCCCTTCCAAGTGTGGGGTGCTGCCGGGGCTGGAGGGCACGCTGTCGCCTGCGTCAGGTGTCTGCCTGTGGGGGCGCCCCTGGGTGGGGAGTGGGGGAGAAGATGGAGGTGCTGCTACCCCCAGCTCTTAGAGCAGACACCTCGCGTCCCTCCCGACATCCTGAACCTCTGTCTGCGTCCCTGCTGAAGCACCGTCTGCTCCTCGAGCCTGCCTGGCCCCCCTCATCCTCCGCCCTGGCCCTGGCGCTGCTTCTTGGGAGGTTTCCCTTCCCACCGACCCTGTCCCCACCTGCACCCTGCCCTTGGGAAGCACTGCAGTTGGTCTGTTGGCAGCGAGAGGCTGATGCCAGCGGTGGAGGTGGCCCAGGCGTGCGTGCGTGTGTGCTCACTGGGTGGGTGGTGTGTGAGAGCCTGGCGGCCACCCTGCCCACCCACCCCCTGCTGTGCAGCATGTCCCGAGGTACCTGGTGTCTTCTCTGCTCGACGAGACCATCGAAGCTGTTGCCTCTGGTCTAAGCACTGCGGTGTATCAGCGCCCCACGAGGCTGCGTGTCCCCGCCAAGCGGAGGAGGAGAGCAAGTAAGTGGGTGTGGTGCTGGCAGGTGTCTGACAGCACAGGACTCGGCTCATCTGCGCACCCAGGTCCTTGGGGCCACAGTTCCTGCAGGAGCGCTGCTGCCAGGCGGTGTGGACGTCACTCAGTGAGCACCGTGGGCTGTGCCCACGGGCAGCAGGCAAGGGCCTCCGTGACACACTCCAAGGTGTCCGGCCGTGTGCTGGGATCCAGCGACGCGCAGTGAGGCCCAGGCTGGGTTTCCCTGCTCGGGAGCAGTGGGTGTCACTCAACGTCCCGGCTGCTGGCTTTCCAGGCGTCCCCGTCCTTCCCTGTGCTCGCGGTGGTCCTTTTACTCCCCTGAGGTCTGCCCCGTGGGGAGGGGTGTGCTCTGCGGCTGCCGGTGTGTGGTGTCCTGCGGTTGACCCGCTGTGCCCCTCGGTGGTCCTTAGCTGTCACGCTGCTCTGGGCAGCTGCTCTCTCCCTGCGAGTGTCATTGGTGTCACTGTGGGTGCGTGGGTTCCCGTTTTGTTCAGTGGGTCATCTGTGGGCTTTAAAAGATCACCTCGAGCCCTGGCCGGTTTGGCTCAGCGGTTAGAGCGTCGGCCTGAGGTCCTGGGAGACCTGGGTTCGGTTCCCGCTAAGGGCATGTACCTCGGTTGCAGTTTGTCCCCGGCCCTGGTCGGTTGTGCGGGTGGCAGCCACTCGATGTGTCCCTTTCACGTCGATGTTTCTCTCTCTCTCTCTGTTTCTCTCTCTCCTCCCCACTCTACCTGAACAAAAAATGGAAAAATGTCCTCCGGTGAGGATAAAAAAAATAAATAAAAAATAAATAAATAGCCCTGGCCAGTTTGGCTCAGCGGTCAGAGCGTCCGACTGCGGTCTGGAGAGACCCGGGTTCGGTTCCCGCTAAGGGCACGTACCTCGGTTGCAGTTTGTCCCCGGCCCTGGTTGGTCGTGCGGGTGGCAGCCACTCGATGTGTCCCTTTCACATCGATGTTTCCCTCTCTCTCTCTTCCTCTCTCTCCCTCCCACTCTGTCTGTACAAAAAATGGAAAAAATGTCCTCGGGTGAGGATTAAAAAATAAATAAATAAATAAATAAATAAATAAATAAAAGATCACCTCGACCACGACACCCACGCAGGAGGAGTGTGCCCCCAGAAGCAGCAGCGAGTCTCCCGCCTGCACTCACGGCCCTCCGGTGGCCCTGCCGGCCTTTTTTTTTTTTTTTTTATCCTCACCCAAGGACATTTTCCATTTTTGCTCAGATAGAGTGGGAGGGAGAGAGAAAGAAACATTGACGTGAGAGAGACACATCCACTGGTTGCTTCCTGCACCACCCCAACCAGGGCCAGGGATGAACCGCAACCAAGGCATGCGCCCTTGACCAGAATCGAACCCGCAACTCATTGGTTTGTGGGCCGACGCTCTAACCTCTGAGCCAAACCGGCCAGGGCTCTGCTGGCCTTTTTGTTGCTGTGGGTCAGTCTGTCCGTCCTCGACAGGTGTGATGACATCCTGAGTGCTCCGGGCAGCTGCTCTGCAGTGGCGAGCCCGTGGTGTCTAGGTGGCCTCTGGCTGAAGAAGGGGTGCTGCACACGCCCCCAACACCGCCAGCTGTCCACATGCTCCCGACACTCAGCGGCGTCACCCCCACTTCGGGTGCCTCGATGGCCGCCAATCTGGAACGAGTGCGCTGGGCAGGCGTCTGCGTCCTTGTGCGGCCTCCATGGAGCCAGTGTCAGTCAGCTGTAGCCCTTTGAGTGGACAGAGCTAGGAGACCATCCTCAGGTCAAGTTAGAGTTCAGCGTCGTGGCCTTTACTTCCGGTGTCTTACATGTGTGTCCTTTTTCTGATGTCAGCAACCCCACTTCCCAGGCCTGACGTGTGTCTCTCACTCGCTTCCTGTTGCACAGAGAACAGTCTGAGTGAGAGTCACAGGTGCTGCCCTTTGTCCCTAGGGAGTGTCCCTCGAAGGATGTGGCGTCACCTGGGCGAGGTGGCAGGTGGTTCTGTGTGTGGTTGCGCCTCACTTGCGTTATTTTGCTTGAGGTTTTGTTTGTTTGCCTTGCTGGTGGGACACAGGTCGGCCCCGCCCCGTGCATGAGCCGCCTCCAGCCCACCCGCCCTGGTCTGTGCCATGCTCCCTTCACCACGCTCCCTCTGCCAGGGCCCCCTCGTCACTGCCCCTTCTCTAAACGCCCTGCTGTCTGCTGCTCGCAGACGGAGGCTCCTCTCCTCATGTGCAGCACAGCCCATCCTGGTGCTGAAAACATGGGCAGAAACCGCCCAACAGCCAGTTGGTGGAAGTTCTGATTGTGTCACAAACGTCATAGAACTTTGTGGGTATTGAATCCAGAGACAAGTAAGGTTCGTGTTGGCTGCTGGCTGCCCACTAAGCACCCTGTGTCCTTTGGTCATGGAGACCTCTGTCCCCGTGTCCCCCGTCAGCTCTGCCCACCCACTCCCCCTGCTCCCTGCCTGGCTGCAGCCTGGTGTTCGGAGCCTGGAGGCTCACACAGGTGCTGGTGGGGGTCTGTTCAGTCTGGTTCTGCTTGCCAGTTGTCTGGGGGGCGGGCATGTTTCCATCAGAGTGCGGGTTCATGGACACACTGGGAGGTGAGGGCAGGCTGACCTGCACCGGCCGACGCCCCCTCGCACGTCCCTAGGGGCAGGCTTCCCACACCCTGGCCTGTCCTCAGCTCGCAGACCTCAGGACCATGCATCACTCGGCACTTCAGTGAGGTCACTCGGGGCCCAGCACCATTGTGAGCTCACAGGTGCAGACGGGCTGTGTGTGTTTCAATAGTGTGTGCTGGGGGCACCGGCCCCCTGTCTTCCGGGGTTCCTGTGCCTCTTGGGTGCAGGGGCATCGAGAGCTCGGCACCCGTGAGCCCGAGATGGCAGCCCCCAGGGGCCAGGCAGGACTGCACGCCGGGTGTGTCTGCCGGGTAGGGAAGGGACGTGTCAGTAGAATTAGGTGGGACCACGTGCCCTCACCTCTCCGGGGGGCCCCCAGGGGTACAGAGCCAGCGCCACGTGTCACTGCACTCTCGGTTGTCAGGGTTTGTCTCTTCCAGTTTAATTTTGTTTCGTGATTCTGAAGTCCTGAGTGGTTCTCAGAGTTGGGTCCACAGACCAAAGCGTCCTTGTCGCGCTGGTGTGGCCGCCCCTCCCTCCTCGTCAGCCAGCAGGGTTTTTAACTACGGCTTGTTTATCCGTCGAAGAGCCCCAGCGTCCGTGGTTGCCCCCATGCTGAGTCCTGGTGGTGTGCGGGCACGCCCAGCAGGGGACGCCAGGGGTGCACATGGTGAGGCACGGACCCTCAGTGTCCTCTCTGTAGGAAGACGGAAGAAAGTGCTGGGGAGGAAGAAAACGCAGGCCAGACCCACCGTGAGAAGCAGGAGCTCTGGGACAAGGTCCAAGAGACGCCAGGGCCGCGTGAAGAAGAGGAAAGGGAAGAAGCTAGAGGTGATGCAGATTCGGTTCCTTGGGAGGGGGCGTGGGGTCCTGGGCACAGCCCCTCCTGTCTGCTAGCGACACGCAGGGAGGGGGCACTTGTGCAGCACAGGCTGCGGGTGGCCTGCAGGACGCAGGGCGTAGGCAGAAGCCACTGGCTCGTCGGGAGGCTTCTGTCTCCCCTGGTGCTGAGGCCGCCCCGGCCGCTCCGTGTGGCCCGTGCTCGCTGCGGCGCTGTGGGTCTGCGCCCGGCAGCCTCACTGACGGGTGGTTCTTTCCCTTCGCTGCTGCCGCGCAGAGTGAAGCCACAGCGCGTCGTCGCATTGCGCGGACCCTGGGCCTCCGGAGACCGGCCCACGGGGCCTGCATCCCGTCCGTGTACAAGCCTGCGGACCCCTCCCTGGGGCTGATGCGAGCGGACATCGGGGCCGCCTCTCTCTCTCTGTTTGGAGACCCCTATGAGCTGGACCCTTTCGACAGGTGACGGGACAGTGCCAGGCAGGCCCCACTGTGGCCAGGGAGCAGGCGGCTCCCCCCACCCCCCCGCAGTGTGGCCGGGGCACGTCGCCCTGCGGTGGGGGAGGGAGGCCTCAGAGCTGCCCTTTGTAAGGTGGGGAGGACCCTGCCTCACAGGCCTTCCCGGGTGGGCAGTGCAGGGAGAGCGGCGTTCACGCTCCACCCGACCTAGGGAGCAGTCTGCCATGTGGGGTGGGGCTGGTGGGTGTCCCCGGGGCCCCAGGCATGGGTCACAGTGCCCTTGGCCTGTGTCCTCCCTGCAGCAGCGAAGAGCCATCGGCCAGTCCCGCTTCCCCTCTGAGTGCCAAGAGGAGGGTGCTGTCCCGCTCGGCCCTGCAGTCTCACCAGCCTGTGGCCAGGCCCGTCTCCATGGGGCTCTCCAGGTGGGTCTGGGGGCAGGGCACCAAGGGACAGTGGTCCTGACTTGGCGCTCTGCTGGCCTGGCGCTCTGCACCCAGATTCAGACCTCGCAGCCCCCTCGGCTCCTGGATGGGGAGGCCTCCGGCGGGGAGGAGCCAGGCCGCTGCGCGTGCTCTCAGCTGGGTCTCCTCTGACATTGGGGCCTTTGGGGAAGAAAAGAGTTAACTGAACCACAAAGCTGTGGACACACCTGCCAGCTCCGCCTGTCAGTGTCGTCAGCTGGTCTCACCCAGACACCTTTCCGTTTAGTTGGAGCTGCTGAGTGGGTCTCACTCCTTCCTTGTGGGGCCTGGGGGCTGGGGCAGTAGTGGCAGGGTTGGTCTGCTCTTGCAGGAGGAGCATTCCTGCCGCAGTGCCCGAGCCGGACATGGACCAGGCCCCTGTCCCTGACCTGCTGGGCAGCATCCTGTCGGGCCAGAGCCTCCTGATGATGGACAGCGCCGACATCACCATCCACCGAGACGGCTCCCTGAGCGCCAAGCGGGCAGGTGGGCAGCCTTGTCTGCACCCTCGGAAACACGCTTTCCCAGGGACACACGTGTAGAGGGGCCGAGTGCCTCTCCGTCCACAGAGCGAGGGAGGGGCGGCCTCCTCTGTCCTTTCCCCGCCAGTTTCCCCTCCGTTCTGAACCGCGTTTCTACGCAGAGAATGCAGGTGATGGAGCCCACGGGCCCCAGATAACGCAGGTGATGGAGCCCACGGCCCTGGGCCGTCACGCGCTCGGCGTGTGTTCTCACAGCCCTGGAGCGAGCTGCAGGGAGCCTCCCACTGATGTGGGTTCTGGCCGGTGTTTGGGGGTGCAGTGGGGTGGTCCAGTGTGGGCACTGGGCAGTCCTCCGTCCCACCCCTTGCCCAGGGGTCTGGCGGGCTTGGGCACATCCCGATCACAGCACACGTGAGCAGAAGGCAGCCCTGTCGCCGAGGCGCCGTGCGCCCCCATGCCCACTGCAGGGCTGCCTGCCCGGGGGCCAGAGAGGAGCTCGGAGTGCCTCAGGGGGCGTCCTGATGAGGGTTGGAGGTCTGACGGCTGTGTGCCTTTCTGTCTTTTAGCACCTGTTTCTTTTCAGCGAAACTCAGTTGGTCTGTCCCGAGGGGGAGAAGACCCTGGGCCCAGGGACAGCCTGCAGCCCACAGCACCATGCTCGGGGCACCTGGGAAGCCTGGGGTCTCGCTGTCAAGGCAGGTCCACCCCTTCCTGTGTCCCTGCGCTCACATTGGGGGCTGCAGTGAGACTGGACTCCTCAGTGACCCCTCCTTCAGGCCAGGCTCAGAACTTAGTGAACGTGAGCAGTCCTGGCTTAAAGCGACATGACGACACCCGAGTCGGCAACAGAAAGCACTCTGCGCCTCTTGGATTCACACCTAAGGTCTCAGATGGCTCCAGCTTGCCAGCCAAGGGTGCCGTGCCCGGACAGACCCCAAAGCCAGCTCCCAGAAGGACGGACATCTCCCAGCTCCCCAGGATACCAAAGATGAGAAGGGACGGCAGCGGGCGAGCGGACACAGCCCCCGTCCCTGCGGGTGGGCAGCGTGCCGACATCCCCAGCTCCTGCATCAGCCGGCTGACTGGCAGGGAGGGCCCCGGGCAGCCTGGCCTTGGTGCCCAGGCCGAGGGCGAGCCCCGCGGCAGGGCCCCACAGGAGCCCAGCGTGCACTCGGGAGGCGGTGCTCAGCCCCCGGCCCCGCTGGGACCCTCGAGGGGGAAGGGTGGCAGCTCGACCTTCGAGAGTTTCCGGATCAATATTCCAGGGAACACAGCGCATTCCAGCAGGCTCTCCAGCCCTGGCTTCTGCCACACCTTCCGGCCTGTGGACAATAAGGTGCAGAGGAAAGAGAACCCCTCACCCCTCTTCTCCCTCAGGAAGACTAAGCAGCTCAAGAGTGAGATCTACGACCCGTCTGACCCCACGGGCTCTGACTCTGGTTCTGCAGGTAGCAGCCCCGAGCACCTGGGCGCTGGTCTCCTGCCCTCAGAGATCACCCGCACCATCTCCATTGATAGCCCCAAGGCCCTGCCCTTGCAGACCGTGCGCTGCGTCACCTCCTACACAGTGGAAACTGTCTTTGGGACGGAGCCTGAGCCCTCTCGGGGGCCTTCCTCCAGCATGCCGAAGCTGCGGGACGAGGGGCCTGCAGACGGGCTGGGTGAGGAGGAGCCTGCAGGAGGCCCCGACTCAGAGCCCCGGGCGCGAAGGCTGTCCCCTCTGGAGCCCTGGGACGACGAGGACCAGCCGCCCCATAGCACCTTCTTTGGCTCTGAGGAGCGTCTGGTGACCTGTGTGACTGTGGTGGAGCCGGACGCCCCCCTGACGACCACCCACAGAATCGTGGAGCTGCGGTCCCCATCCCGCTCCCGCTCCACATCCAGCTCCCGCGGCAGAGATCCGGACAGGAGGAAGCAGGCCGCCACCCAGGAGCGTCGGAGGGCTCGCTCACGCCCCCGCTCGGGCTCCCGCTCTGGGGACAGGAGCTCCAGGTCGATGTCACCACGGGTGGGTGAGGACCACACCAGGAGGCACGGGGCCAAGGTCAGGGTCCGGAGGTCTTCCAGCGACGGCTCCAGCAGCCACGAGCGAGCCAAGAGGAAGAAGGCCAAGGACAAGAGCAGGGAGAGGAAGAGAGACTCCCGGGGGCGATGCCGGCGGAGGTCCCGGTCCCGGTCCCGGTCCCGGTCGCACTCTGGCAGCCCTGGCAGCTCCCCGCAGGAGCATCGCGAGAGCAGGAGGAAGAAGAGGCGCTCGGGGTCCAGGTCTCAGGGCAGGGGCTGCTCTCCCCCCAGCAGCCTGGAGAGGGCCTGGAGGCCACGCCGTCCCAGGGAGAGGAGCCGCGAGCGGCCCCGAGACAGGCGAGGCTCCCACGAGAGGAGGAAGCACAGGTCCAGGTCCCCCAGCGCCGAGCACAGGTCCCGGGAGCATCGGCGGCCTCGTTCCCGTGAGAAGCGGCCTCGGCCTCGCTCCCGCTCCCGCTCCCGCTCCCCGGAGAGGAAGTTGCCTGTGAAGGAGGGTTCCCCAGCGCCCCTTCCCCAGGAGCACCCAGCCAGGCCACCAGCCTCAGCAGGAGCTGAGTCCGACAAGGCCCCTCCGAAGGCTCCCCTTGTGCCAGAGGTGCCGGGCGAATGTCCCCCCGAGGACCTGGACTATGGCGACTCTGTCGAGGCGGGGCATGTCTTTGAGGATTTCTCAAGTGAAGGCATCTTCATGCAGCTCGATGACATGAGCTCCCCACCCTCCCCGGAGAGCACGGACTCGTCCCCAGAGCGGGGTTTTCCACTCAGCCCAGCGGCGCCCTCCGCCAGCCAGCATCCAGACACCAGCCTGGCTATGGCTGTCATCAGAAGGGAGGTGTCGCTGATCCATAGTGAAGATGCTGTGCAGCCCTCGCCCTGGGCAGAGGGTCCCCAAGAGAAAGTCTCCTTCCAGCAGGACCAGGCCAAGGCTGTGGTGCCTGGCTCCCTGGGAGGCCCGGCCGTGGGCGGGGCACTGGTGGGGAAGGAGGAAGGCCCCTGTGAGACCCCTGTACTTCGGGCTAAAGCCCCAGTGAAGAGAGTCACCTGGAACCTGCAGGAGGCAGCAGGCCGCGCTCTGGCTGAGGACAGGGACCTGCGTGAGTAGGGTGCTCCTGCGGCACTTGCGGGTGGGCGGGGGCAGCGTGGGGGTGCGTGGAGGGGCCAGCCCGGAGACCCCTGCCCCTAGCAGCCATGGGCCTCTGGCCATATGCGGCACAGGCTCTGCCCCGAGAGGCTGCAGCCCCGCCTGTGGCCCTCCTCGCTAGGCTGCTTCGGGGGGGGGGGGGGGCAGCCTTCCGTCCTGTGGCCACTAAGCACCCTCCTCCGTGCTGCCCTCAGGAACACCACTTCACAGACCCCAGCAGCTCCGGGAAGGGGCATGGGAGCCTGAAGACCGGGGCCCCGTGCTGGACTCCCAGCAGGCACCCTTCCCCGAGCCCCCTCCTGGTTACATGCTTGCGGAGCCTGGCTTCCCCAACTCGGACCCCGCTCAGGTGGGTGCCTGGGCTGGAGGGAGGAAGGTGGCCATGCACGTGGGCCCAGCAGGCAGCCCGGCGGGGGCGGACGGCCTCACGGCAGCACCTCTCCTGGCCAGTGCACTCAGCGCACCAGCCGAGGGGCCGAGGGCACCGCCGGCATCGGAGCTGCACTCAGCGGGCTGTGCCCTTGCCCAGGTCTATAGCCCCCACCTGCCTCCCGCCCTGCCTGTGCCCCCGAGCGCCCCGCCCTATGCACCAGTCAGCCAGCCCGCGGTCCAGTTCATCCTGCAGGGGAGCCTTCCCCTAGTGGGCTGTGGGGTGGCACCAAGCCTGGCCCCAGTGCCCACCGTCCTGACCACAGCCTCAGAGCCGGCTGGCCACGCTGCCGCCACCACCAACTCCGAGGAGAGGTCGGCCGCCCCCCGGCCAGCCCCAGAGAAGGCCAAGAATGAGGAGGTGAGTCCCGCCTCCTTCCTCCGGCTGCTGGGGCAGGGTGGCAGCGAGCTGGCCTCCCTCCCAGGGCCCTCAAGGCCTCTGCCCGGCCGTCAGCCCTGCACGGCCTCACGCCTGGCTCTGTCCCCAGTACATGAAGAAGCTGCACGTGCAGGAGCGGGCGGTAGAGGAGGTGAAGCTGGCCATCAAGCCCTTCTACCAGAAGCGGGAGGTGACCAAGGACGAGTACAAGGACATTCTCCGGAAGGCGGTGCAGAAGGTACGTGGCGGGCGGGGCTGCGCCCTCTCACTGACGGGCTGTAGGGTGTCCGAGCAGAGGGAGGTGCTCTGGCCCTGGCGGCGTGGCACCTTGTGGGTGCTCGGAGGAATGAGCTGTGTCGGGGTTAGGACAGCGTCCTCCTGACTTAAGTAGGCTAAGCAGGAGAGTGACGCCCTGAGGCGTCTCTGGCTGTCTTTGGTGGGACCCTCAGTGACCTTGGGAGGTGGGCAGAGTGGGTCCCAGGGCCCAGTCACTGACCACTAAACGTCTGGGTATGAAAGGATCTCTGGGTAATTGTGCCACCCCTTCCCCCCAGATCTGCCACAGCAAGAGCGGGGAGATCAACCCTGTGAAGGTGGGCAACCTGGTGAAGGCGTACGTGGACAAGTACCGGCACATGCGCAGGCACCGGAGGCCGGGAGCAGGCGAGGAGCCGGCCACCCAGGGCACCGAGGGCTGAGGCTGCTGCCCTGGTCCCCAGCAGTGCTCTCGGGAATGGCAGAAGCAGAAAGTTCTGGGGACCCCCCCAGCACCGTTTTCCGGGTTCCTGTGATCACACATGGTCTGTGCACTTGTCCTGCTCAGTTTAAACTGGACTTTTTATATGTACATTATAGATACACTGTTTCGTTGTGTTCTAATTTATCAAAAATGGGTTATCTTTAGAAACTTCTCAGTTGACTCAGTACTTGAAAGGTGAACCCTATATTGAAGGGGGGGCCTTGGAGGACAGAGAGGCTGCCTGTTTCCTGTTTAGGGACCCCCCACTTTGTTGGTAATGTTCAATCAGTAACGGCTGAAGTGTTAGTCCAACCCCGCCTTCTCCCCCAGGGCCAAGGGCAGTGTGGGTGGGTTTTGAAGGCCAGGCATGGGCCTTGGGCACAGCACAGAGGCAGCCCCCAGTGCCGCACTCCCCCATATACATGGCAAGAGCAGAGGCTGCTGTCCCGGGGCTTTGTCCTTCGAGTGGTGTGGATGGCTCTGAAGCGTGCGGCTTGAGTTTCTTCACTGTGCGGACAGAGGAAACTGGGTGTGCTGGGAGGCCTGTGTGTGGGTGCATGTGGGCCTCTCCTCCCTCCCCGGTCCGGCCTTGAGCCCGCCCCAGTCAGGACACCAGCACTGGTTCTTAGTCCTCTTTATTGGGTGGGGAGGGCCTGGGGCCAGCCTAGGCCAGCTAGCTGCTCCACCTCCATGAACTGTTCCAGGAAGTACTCCAGGTCCTCGTACAGGCTGTTGGTGGACAGGCAGAGGCCCAGGCTGCCGCTGTCCAGGGAGGACACACCTTCCCGCTGCACTCTCTCCAGGTACACCTGGCACAGCCACGGCTCCAGCTGCAGGGAGGGCTCAGTCAGCCAGGCTGAGGCTGCAGCAGGGGCAGCCTCCCCAAATGGGCCTGCGCCTCACCTTCACCAGGACCAGGCTCCTCTCCTTGGGCCTCCCGGCTGACAGGTCCTGGCCAAAGCCCAGGTAGATGGTGTAGTGGGGGGAGCCCCGGCGCCGACGAGCGCGGAATTCCACCAGCTCTGCAGGGTGGGGCTCTGGTGAGTGGGGGGCTGGGATGGGGAGGGGCGGGAGGGCTTCGTCCCGGGGCAGGCGCAGCACTGACCTTCCAAGAAGGTGCGGAAGTCAAAGATAGGGGTGTCGCAGTTCCTGGGCAGCAGGCGGGCAGGGGCGGAGGGGTTGTCGGAGCCCAGGGGGCTGCCTACCTCCCAGTAGACTTGACACAGGCCCTGGCGCCGGGCCCATAGCTGGGACCCCCGGAGCTCAAGCTGCAGGCCAGGGGCCACGTGCTGTAGCAGCTTTTCTGTGTAGCGAAGCTGCTTCTGGTCGGGGAGCTCAGCGGGGCTGGGGAAGGCCACAAGCTGACACTCTGTGGCCTGAACAGGGAGGCCGGGGGCGCCGTATAGGAGCACACAGCTTGGGCGCCCAACCATCTCCTGCAACACTGTGCGGCCCTTGTACATGATGGTCACCTGCAAGACCCCCAGGCTGGGCTCTGCCTGCAGACCAAGCTGTGGGCAGTTGGACCCCGCCGTCTGGGTGCAGGCACTGGGGGCAGGTTTGATGCAGGGCTCCACCTCTGGTGGGGGCTGCCAGGTGCAGGGCTGCCCCTCTGGTGGGGGCTGCCAGGTGCAGGGCTGCCCCTCTGGTGGGGGCTGCCAGGTGCAGGGCTGCCCCTCTGGTGGGGGCTGCCAGGTGCAGGGCTGCCCCTCTGGTGGGGGCTGCCAGGTGCAGGGCTGCCCCTCTGGTGGGGGCTGCCAGGTGCAGGGCTCCACCTCTGGTGGAGGCTGCCAGGTGCAGGGCTGCCCCTCTGGTGGGGGCTGCCAGGTGCAGGGCTCCACCTCTGGTGGGGGCTGCCAGGTGCAGGGCTCCACCTCTGGTGGGGGCTGCCAGGTCTCTGGGGCTGGACCTGCATCTGAGGAGGAAGGGCCTGAGCTGGCAGCCAGTCCCCCAGCCCCTCCCACTTCCACACATCCCCCGGCCCTTCCCTAGCCCTAACCCTTCTCACCTCTTGTCTGGGGCTGGGACCTGGGCCTGGGGGCCATCTCCACAGCCCATGGAAGGTATCGCTGCCCGGGAAGGAACTCTGGACCTGAGGAGAATGGGAGCAGCTATGCTGGCTCAGCCCTGGCCAGTGTCATCCTGGACACACACCCCCTCCCAGGGGGCTCTGCTGTCCTGCCTGCCCCTCCACTGGGCAGGCATCTCCAGCAGAGCCCCCCTTTCAGCACTGCTCCTCACCAGAAGCCTCTGGAGGGACTGGGTCTGCTCCCTGTGCGGCCTCCAGCTGGCTCTGCTGCAGAGCCTGGAGCAGGAGATCCTCCGAGGAGCCAGGCGGGCCCGGGACAGGGTTTGGGGCGCAGGGCATGGGGCTCAGCCCTGCTGGTTCAGGCCCTGGACTCCCACCAGCATCTCCTGCCAGACATGGCCCAGAGAGCCCACCCTGCAGGAGGAGACAGGGCTGGCATGAGTAGCCCTGGCCAGTGAGAGGTGCAGACCCACCCAAGATGAGGAGGGCAGGGGTCAGCCTTACCCTGGTGGATGGGGCACCTTCAAGGGCCTTGCTGTCTCCCTGGTTAGTGCCTGGATCTTCTGAGGGAGAATTGGGGTGGGGGCAGCATTGGGACCTGAGACACTAAGCTGGCCCACGCCCCCTCCCCTAGTCCCAATAGGCCCCATTAGTTTTCTCCGGGGGTCCCCTCCAACCTGGCACCATCCTCTCCCAGACTGGTTTGTAACACCACACAGCTGCCCCAGAGGCTACCCCTGGACAGAACAAAGTCCCAGCACCCTGCGCGCACCATTGCCCTGCCCCGACCCACAGCCTCCCCATTTCTCACCTCTGCACCCCACATTGGAACAGAGCTTGTACACTTTGTGCGGGTCGCTGGGGTCTCCTGAGTAATCATGCAGCATCACAAAGCGCCTCGTGCTGCTCAGAGCACAGCGGAAGTTGGTTTTCCAGCCGGCCCGGAGCGGGCCCTCGGGGACCGCGCCAACCCCTCCGCTGGGCGGCCACCTGCCACGGGCCACAGCCCAGGCCTGGGGAGGGAGACAGAGGGTGTGGGCCTGGGGCCGGCAGGCGGGCTGGCCAGCCTGCCCTCCCTGCCCTCCCACCCTGGGCTGCCTGGGGTCCCACCTTGAAGATGCGGGAATCGGCCTCGCCCAGGTCCTTCCGAGAGAAGTGCTTCCAGGGCACGCGGAAGCATGTGCGGGCCGGGTCCAGCCACTGCAGCCCCTCGTAGCGGCCGCTGCTGACCTCGCCGAGCAGCCAGTCTGCGAACAGCACGCGCGGGCCCCCCCTGCGGGCGGAGCAGCCAGCGGGTCAGGGCGCAGGGCACCGTGCGCGAGGCTGGGCGCAGGGGGGCAGGCCCGCCTCTCACCTCTCGGGGTCCGCGGCCATGGCTCCGCCGCAGGGGTCTGGTCACGGGTGACAATCGGGTGTTCCTCAGGTGTCACCACAGTAACGTGGGGAGGTGTCACAAGAATGCCCTGTTGTTTCGGGTGTTAGGGTCGCAGATGTGGGTAGAGGGCTTGTGGCCACCGCGTTGCCGGTGTGGGATTCTTGCCCAAGGTGGCGATGGGTGTGAGTACAGGTGTGTCAGCGCGCACACGTGAAGTCACAGGTGTTGAGCCAGCGTCCGGGCCTGGGGGCTGTCCAGGCTGGACCCTGCAGGACAGGACGGAAACCGCCGCTGGGGGACCCGGCACCGGGAAAGCGAAACCGCGACGCCGCTCGTCGCGGGAAACGAAACCTAACCATCTGCCACTGCGGGGCTACCCGCCCCCCGCCCCCCGCCCCCCACCCATGCTCAGCGACCCCCGTCTCCACTTCGAACCAGGAGTTGCCCCTCTGGCTCGGCGTGGGTCGGGTTCCCGCGTACCTGGAACCGGAGCCGCCGGAACGGGAAGTTTGGTCTCGCAGGAAAGCTGGGAACCAGCGTATTTATGCCGGGGAGGCCGGGAGGCGGGCCGGGGCGGGCCGGGGCGGGCCGGGAGGCGGGCCGGGGCGGGCCGGGGCGGGCCGGGAGGCGGGCCGGGGCGGGCCGGGAGGCGGGCCGGGGCGGGCCGGGGGGCGGGCCGGGGGGCGGGCCGGGGCGGTCGGGTATCCGGAGCTCAGGTGCAGCCGCGAACGTCACGCGCTGTGGCCAGCTGTGCCCGTGGGTGAAGGGCACGCGCACTGTGTGCCTCGAGCCCCGGTTCAGGCTCGGGTGAGGGCAGGCTCTGGCTGGGGACAGTGCGGAGGCGTTGGTGGAAAGTGGCCGGAGTGGCCGGTCCCACTCGCCCTCCCCGGCCCAAGACCTGGCACTGCTCCTGAGCCCTGTCACACCGGGCGGCGCCCCAACCCTACCACAGGCCGCTGTCACGGTGCCTGGCGTGCTTACTGCCCCACTGGACCCCACATGGACACAGGCTGTGCCCCCGACAGAGGTCCCGGGGACCATGCTCCTCGAGTGTTCTCGAGGGTGGCTCTTGCCGCATCGGGTCGGGAGGGGCTCCCCAGCGCAGGTGCCCGCCGGCTGCAGTTACTGCAGTTTCGCCGGGAGAGGAACCTCCGGCTGCCAGCTGCCCGGACGTGGGCAGCCGCGGCGCCGCGTGCGGATTACGGGAAGCGGTGCCTGCGAGCTCCGGCGAGAGCCCGCCCCGCCCGCCCCCCTGCGCCCCCCTGCGCCCCCCGCCTCTCCCTGCGCCCCCCGCCCCCCTGCGCCCCCCGCCCTCGCGTGCTCGCGACGCAGCAGCCGCGGAAGCCTCGCAGGGGTTCAGAGTGTCGCTTTATTACGCGCAGGGCCGGGGTGGGAGGAGCCCGCCGCCCGGGTGTCCCCCCCCCCTGCCCCCCGTGGCGGGGCGTCAGATGTAGGTGGAGTCGGTGCGGGCCGTGTCTTCGGGGGGCCCCCAGCCAGGGCCCGCGTCCGAGCGCTCGTCGTCGCTGCCCGAGTCGCTGGGGCCGTCGGCGTCCGAGGCGGGCGCGTTGAGAATCACCACGTCGGCCTCCGCGCCGATGCCCTCGCCGAACCACACGGCCTTGTAGCCGCCCTCGGGCCGCCGCTCCTTGGTCAGGATGGACCTCACGCCCGCGGGCCCGCCCTCGTCCCGGGTCGCCGCGGGGGGCCCTGGGACGGGGCTGGGGGACCCAGCGGCGCGGGGCGTGGGCGGCGCGGGGGGCGCGGGGGGCGCGGGGGGCGCAGGCAACTGGGGCGCGGGCGGGACTTCCTGGGGGGCGGGGCTGGGGGCGGGGCTGGGGGCCGGAGCCCAGGTGGCCTCGTGCTCCTCCGGCAGGAAGGCCTTGTTGTCGAAGCCACAGGGCTCAGGCTCCTGGGGAGACGCGGGAGCCGAGGCATCAACAGGAGCTCGGGTCGGGGCCCGGCCCCAGCCGTCCCGAGGCAGGGATCCCGGCCAGTCCCTCCTCTGTTCTCCGCCTCTTCCTGCCCCCTCCCCACTTTGTGAACTATGGTGTCTACACCCACCTCTCCTCACGCTGCTCTCTAGCTCCCTTCTTTTGTAAAATTTTTTTTATTCCTCCCCTGACCCTGAGGATACTTTTCTATCATCAGGCAGAGTTGGGGGAGAGGGACAGAGACATCGATGCCTCCGGCGGGACCCGACCGGGGCCGGGGATGAAACGCAACCGGTGTAGTGCCCTTGACAGGAATCAAACCCGCAACTCATTGGTCTCCGGCCGATGCTCTAAACACTGAGCCAAACCGGGCAGGGCGCCAGCTCCCTTCTGATCCGGGTCTTCGGCCGGTGCCTCTGCCCTCCCCGCCTCCCGCACTCTGTCCTCGCCCTCCCGCCCCGGTCTCCTCTATTCATGTCCTCTTCAGCCTCTCCACCTGCCCCTCTCCCGCTGTCTCCACCGCAAGGCCTCACCTGAGCTTTGCCAGAGCAGCACTTGAGCCGGTGGCCATAGTGCTTGTGGACCAGGATCACCAGGGCGATGAGAGCCAGGAGCAGCAGCGCACCCAGCACCCCGCCCAGGGCCGCCATCTCCACTGCTGAGAACCGCTGGTCCTCCCCAGTGCTGCCTCCAGCTCCTGTCGAGCGTGCAGACCACACCACCACCCTCAGTCCAGCAGCCAGCACGTCCCTTGCCCACCTGTGCCAGGCTCAGGACAGCCTGGGGACAGGCCAGGCCCCCACCAGTAGCTGTGTGTTCCCAGGGACCCCTGAGGAGGCCAGGCTGCTGAAGGGAGGAGGGGCGGGGGTCCAGGCAGGAGGCAGGTATCCAGCACACAGGATGGGCATGAGGACAGTGCTGGGGGCAGTGGAACTGTGGTTGTCCCAAACCTGGCCTGCCCTGCACACACTCCTGAGGCCCCCCCAGGACCTGCTGTCTCCACCCAGACCAGGGCACGCCACCCCTTTGCATTTCAGTCAGCATGACCATGCTGGTCCGACCTGGGTGGACCCTGCCCGACCGTGATTCCCAGGACCACCAAGTGTCACGAGTCAGGGAGCATGAGGGTGCTCCAGGGCCAGTGGGGTGCTACCTGAGGGTGAGGGCGTTCTGCTGGGAGGTACCTGGCTTCAAGGTCTGAGCTGAGCTCGTGCTGGACGAGGCTGATGAAGGAGAGGTGCTGACTCCCACACTGGAGGACCCCCCAGGCGTGGGTGAGGCAGATGGCTTCCCAGTTGTGCCTGAAGGGGGGTGTGGGCCAGTGCCCCCCCCAGAGCTGGTCGTGGAGGGTCCCTGAGAAGGCTCTGGGGGTTTGGGGACTTCTGTGGTGGAGTTGCCTGAGGGGGGCTGTGGGCCAGTGCCCCCTCCAGAGCTGGTCGTGGAGGGTCCCTGAGAAGGCTCTGGGGGTTTGGGGACTTCTGTGGTGGAGTTGCCTGAGGGAGGCTGTGGGCCAGTGCTCCCCCCAGAGCTGGTCGTGGAGGGTCCCTGAGAAGGCTCAGGGGGTTTGGGGACTTCTGTGGTGGAGTTGCCTGAGGGGGGCTGTGGGCCAGTGCTCCCCCCAGAGCTGGTCGTGGAGGGTCCCTGAGAAGGCTCAGGGGGTTTGGGGACTTCTGTGGTGGAGTTGCCTGAGGGGGGCTGTGGGCCAGTGCCCCCCCCCAGAGCTGGTCGTGGAGGGTCTCTGAGAAGGCTCGGGGGGGCTGGGGGGTTCCGGAGTGGAGCTGCTTGAGGGCTGGGTTGTTCTTCCAGTCTCTGGGGGTGTTGGGGGACCTGGGGTCCAGGGACACAGCTCCAGCTTGTCACTGTACCCAGCGTGCCTGAGGCAAGAGCCCTCCCTGAGGGCCCCCCAGGCCTGAGGGCTCACCTGTGGGGGTGGGCTGCTGCTCTGAGACTTGAATCTCCACCACGGTGGTCGCTGTGCCTGACGTCACTGTGTTGGTGGCCTCCACCTGGGGCAGGAAGGAGGCTGGTCCCTCTTTGGCCCCCCTTGACCCCACCCCTCAGAGGCGCTGCCTGCTCCCCACCTCTGCGTAGAAGGCTCCTGCCTGCGTCAGCGGGGCAGCCGTCAGCACCACCTCCCCGTCCATCCGGAAGTGGGAGTTGTTGGTGATTTGGTACGTGATGGCCGAGTTGAGGTCCTGGACACAGCCCCAGTGAGCCCTAGGCCCAGGCTGTGCCCGTCACCCAGCCCACCCTCAGAGGAGAGGCCAGGCAGACCCAGGGACCAGGCAGTGCCTACTGGGAACTCGGGGTCCTGGGCCTGGACCCTCAGCAGCTGGGAGGGGTCGGCTGCATCCTTGACCGCCACGCCCACCGCAGCGCCCCGCGCCACGGTGCCACGGTAGAGGCTCTCAGGGAAGCGGGGCAGGCTCCCAGAGGCGTTCCAGGCCTGCACCGTGACCTGTGTCACCGAGTAGCGGGCGCGGTCCTCTTGCTCGCCCTGGAGTAGGGGAGGCAGCAGTGACCAGAGGGTCCCTGAAGTGCCGGCCCTGCAGTCTGGGGCTCAGTGAGGGCCTGGGAGACCTGGCCAGGGGACCCACCTTGACTACCAAAAGGAAGGTCTTGGGATGGGGGACGCTCCTGGCCATGGTGAGGTTGCCCGAGTCAGCGTGGATGACAAAAGTGCTGTCCTCATTCCCTGGGGGCAGGGGAGAGGGTTTGGCTCCATCCCCGCCGGAGGCCTGAGGTCCAGGTCCCAGCTGGCTCTGCCCAGGTGACAGGTCCGCTGGGGTTCCTTAGCCCAAGGTGGGGGTGCATCTGGGTCTGGGTGTTGTGTGGAGAGAGAAGCTGGGCTGGTCCTCACTCACCCCTCATGATGCTGTAGATGATACGCTGGTTGATGCCTCGATCCCCGTCCACAGCATAAATGGGCCCAGGTCTCAGGATGAGGGGGGCCGGCTGTGGGGACCCGGAGGGGAAGGGAATCCATGGGCTGGTGTGAGGGCTCCAGCTCGGCCCCTCCTGCTCCTCCTAAGGTGGCCTGAAACACCCCCGCCCCCACTCCCCTTGGATTTGCCGCCCTGCAGGACTCCCCATCTCAGCGCCCCTTTGGACCTGTTCTTTTTTATCCTCCCCGAGGACACTTTCCCATTTTTTGTTCAGAAAGAGCGGGAGGGAGAGAGAGGAAGAGAGAGAGAAACATCGACATGAAGGGACACATCGAGTGGCTGCCTCCCGCACGACCAACCAGGGCCGGGGACAAACTGCAACCGAGGTACGTGCCCTTAGCAGGAACCGAACCCAGGTCTCTCCGGACCTCAGGCCGACGCTCCAACCGCTGAGCCAAACCGGCCAGGGCTGGACCCGTTCTTAATGAGTCAATTTGCCCAAAGACATTGGATTGGTCTGGACCATGGGTGTCTCCGAAGGTGGCGCCCACGGGGGATGGGGCAGCTCATGGGGAGAGATCTGGACCCCTGCCCTCTGGGGCCTCAGTGCTCTCCTGTTGGCAGGAGAAGGGACAGCAGCTCCCAGGGTCCCAGCCGGCCTCCCAGGGGCCCTGCCAGGCTCAGCCCCCAGCACAGCCGCGTCCCAGGAGTGTGCGCCCCTCACCATTGTTCACAAAGCCATGCTCACACTTGCTTAAAAATCACAACTGCATTTGGCCCAGGCCACAACCCCAGCACCAGCCCTCAGCTCCCCTGGCCCCCCTTCCTGTCCCTTACCAGCGTGTGGCCTGTGGGGATAGCCCCCAGGTACTGGGCTTGGATGCAGACGTGAGAGTCCGAGTAGGCGCAAGGTAAGAACCAGGGCGGCCGAAGGTCGGCAGGCTGCACTTCCAGGACCAAGGTGGCCGTGGCTGTGTGGCTGGGCATCTCGTCCTCCTTCCGGGTGTCCTGCAACCGAGCCCTGACAGTCGGCCTGCGAGCCAGGCCGGGGCAGCTTCCCTGGGCACTTGAGGGACCCAGACTCAGGGGCAGTGGCCTACTCACCCGCACCAGCAGCTGGAAGGTCATGTTCTGACACCTGTCAAAGTCCAGTGGCTGGTTTAGTTGCAGGGCGGGGCGGTTCACACCCACCAAGGAGAAGAAGTTACTGGCATCCTGGAGAGATGGGGGGCCGAGCTGAGACCCTGGGAGGACAGGGAGAGGCAGGGGTGCCCGAAGGGAGGGGGCAGAGTTGGGGCAGGGGAAGGGGTTGCTGACCGGGGTCACTTCTCGGAGGGTATAGAACAAGATGTCGTTTTTGTCCAGGTCCTGGGCCTTCAGCTCCGTCTCAGGAATGACAATGGTGTTCACTTTAGTGTCCTGGGGGATGGAGAGGGGTTGGTCCGGCCATACCTCTGACTCCCAGGGACCCAGCCCCATGGTCAAGGCCCCCCGAAGAGCCCTCTTCACTCTGGCTCCTCACCCCAGACTCCTGATGCCCCACACTGGCCCTGGGGGTGCCCTCACACTCACCTCGGGCACTCTCTTGACCTTGACCTCAAAGGGGAACACAGGCGGGTTGTCGTTGACATCTAACACGGTCACAAACACCCTCAGCTGGGTCACCTGGGCAGATAGGGTGGAGGTCAGCCTTCTCCCCACGGGTCCTCCCCAGAGGCAGGCTGGTAGTGGCCCTGCTCATCCGAGTGCTGGGTACAGTCACAGACACAGCAGGGGTCACAGACAGGAGCAAAGTCATCTGTAAAGCACCGAAGGCGGCAAGTGCCCTGCAGAGAAACGACCACGGCGCTGGGTGCAGCCGGACCCCACACGAGGACAACAGAACACACTCCTGCAGACATGAACCTCAAAGGAGAAAGAGGAGAGAAAGGGGACCCCGGAGCTTAAGAGGCATTGGGATCATCGGCCATTGCATTCGGTTGCCCTCGCTTGGGCGTCTGTGACTGTGGGTCCGTGACCACGGCGGCACCATCCCCCAGTTGCCCTGCGATGCGGCGTGCCTACCTTTTCAGGTGTGACAGCAGTAACGTGTTATATGTAAGAAGTACCCTGAGATACTGCGGGGGGAGGGGGGACAGTGTCCGAGCGGGTGCCCGCAGGGTTCAGAGGAGACCAGGCAGGGCCGTGACTCACTGCTGAGCAGCAGGTGCGTGGGGCTCACTGCGTGTCCTCCCTGCGCCTGTGCGTTTGCGGTTTCCCTCCATGGAAGAGGAGGCAGGGTCAGTACTAAGGGGTGTGGGGCGAGGGGGCAGAGGGAAGGCACCTCTGGAGATGGGGCATCTCATGGGGAGTGTGAAGCTTAATTGGGGTGCAGGGTCTGTGAATCTTCGGCTCAGGGTCAGTCTGGTTGGAGAAAGTGTGGCCGTCGCAGCACAGGGTGACACGTGAACACACGTCACTGGGTGAGGTCAGTGGAGAGGGACCCAAGCCTGGGGACACTGATGTCACAGGGTGAGGCCAGGACAGGGGCTGCCGGCCGGGGAGCAGGGCGCGGGGCCAACTCACCACCATGTTACCCCTCCTGCACTCCAGGTCTGCCAGCAGCATCGAGTTCTCCTGTGGGGCAGGTCCGTGTCAGGAAGCCCCTGCCCGGCTGGCACAGCACTGTCCCCATTGCACAGGTGAGGAGAGACAGGCTGAGAGGGACAGGTGCTCACAGAGGTCCCATCACCCACACTGAGCCGGAAGGCACCAGGGGCCCTGGCAGCTTTGTCCCCCAGGGCCCTGGTTCCCCTGGGTCTGCTCTCAACAGAGCCTTTGAGCCCGAGAGTTCAGTTGCTGCCTGTGGGCACAGAGCCCTCAGGGTCTTCAAAAGCCCCTTCTCCACAGGGCCCCTTGGGGGTGGGCTGCCCCTGCCATGCCCCACCCCTCCTAGGGCCCGCCCCCGTCTGTCTGCACCTCATAGTCAGGAGTCGCGTTGAGAAACAGCTGGGTCCCCTGGATCCGAAATGCGAAGGGGGTAGACGTGGGCCCGAGGGTCACCTGCTGGCCCTCAGGGACATAGATGTCCACCAGGGGTCCACTGGGAATCGTGTTCTCCTGGACTTCAAAGACGTTCTTGTTCACAGAGCAGACTGGAAAGTGGAGGAGGAAGAGTCAGGACGTTCCTGGCCCCTCCCGCCGCCCAGCCCACCTCGAAGGCCAGTGTACCCCGAGCCTGGGCCCCGGCCAGGAGCAGAGGCAGCAGCAGGGTCCACGCCTCCATCTCGGGGCTGCTGCCGCAGTGCCGACCCTCCGACCCTCCGACCCTCCGAGCGGCCTGCTGCTGGTGCTGGCTCTGCCGGACGACCTTCGCCCCTGCGGGCACCGCCCCACTTTATGACCCTTTACGACTGACTGGCCTCCACCAAGAGGGCTCCTGCCGGCCAACAAGCACCAGGCCTAGTGGTTACCAGGCAGGGGCCAGGTTACATGTGGGGACCAGCGGGGGGCTCAGCCCACAGTCACGAGACACCAAGAAAGTAGCTCAGAGAATGCTCAGGGCACCATGGGCCTGGCGTGGGGGCATCGCAGGGGTCGCAGGAGAGGGGGTAGGGCTGGGTGGGAGAGGCTGGGAAGGGGTGGCCTTTGGCTCTTGTGTTTTGCTGTGTCCACCACACCCTGGCAACCCTCTGCTGTGCTCCCCTGCCGGAATCATCCCAGGGCAAAGTTCCTAAGGCAGCCCCGTGAGGTTCGGCCCCTGCCTCTCAGGCCACCTCCTCTGCCCACACTGGAGTCTGGGAAGAAAGGGCTGCTTGTGTCGTGGGGACACACCTGTCAGCCTCAGAAGCAAGCCGGCTCCTCCTGGTGGAGCTGGGCAAGGCCACATTCAAGGAGATGACAGTGCTTCAGGGGACCCAGAGGAGTGATTCTGGAGAAGCTTCTTGGCCCAGGCCCCCAACCGCCCTCCCCTTGTCTTTCCTTGGACCCCAGCCCAGCACCTGGGGAGAGACCACCAGGCAGGGTCAGGAGGGAGGGAGGGGCCCTTCCTGAGCACTGTCCCCAAGCTCCTCTCTCTGCTGTGACAGCAGTGTGCTGGGTGGCCTCCTGCAGCTCAGCACCCCCAGGGGCTTCATCATTGTCCTGCTCCACAGCCACTGGTCAAGCCGCTCGTGCGGCCTGGGCAGGGAGCCAAGCCTCCAGGCCTCTGTGGCGCCCCCTCCCCACCCGGCACCTCTTCCAGCCCATCCTGAGCATCTTCACACAGCCTCCCCGGGTGTCCCCGAATGTTTGCTGAATGGATGACAAGGGGGACAGGAAGTGGCCCTGGTGCCAGAGATAAGGAAACAGGGTGAGGTGTTTTTGGGCTTCCCAGGTTTAAAGGGCAGCTGAGCACGGCCACAGGACTGGGCTCCGAGAGCCGAGCCCCTTTCTCTCTGACAGCGCGGCCCTGCGGGGCTGCCTTGAGGGTCCCAAGATGGCACAGAAGGGCTCACCAGACCAGGATCTGAATTCTTCCTTTATTGGTGCCAAGTGCAACCCCCTGCCCCCACCCCTCCCGGTCCAGGCTCCCTTGGTCTGGAGAGGAGGTTCCTCCATCCTCAGTCTTCATGGCCTCATCGGGGTCTGGTCGGGGTCTCGGCAGGGATGGCCGCGTCTGACACGGTGGCTGGAGGCCTCAGCCCAGGAGGCCGCCTCAGGACCCAGGCCCAGTCCAGGATGGCCCTTGGAGGCGCCCTGCAGAGACAGCCAGGTTAGCGGCCGGGGCTTGAAGCTGGAGGTCCCACCCACCCGGTGAACTTCGGGTTTCCCTCCCCAGATTCCTAGCCCACTGCCTGTCCTGTTCCAGCCCCAACCCAGGGTGCCCCCAGGACCGAGCGCAGGGTCTGGGAGAGGGGCTTCCAGGTGGGAGGCGTGGCCAGTGGCGCTCACCACGTCTGCAGGGCAGGCTCGGACCACAGCAGGCACAGGGGGCCCTCCGCAGACCTGGTCCAGGATGTGCTGTTCTCCGTGTGCTGCTCGCTGCCCCCGACCCCAGATCAGAGTTAGTCTGCTGAGGTGAGGGCATCCCCGTGCGGGCCTGGCTCCCTCAGCGGCCCAGGGCAGGTGCCCCGCCCCCAGGTGCAGCCGCTCACCTGCGCTTCCCCACCAGGCCCTGGAGCAGCCGCTGCAGCCTCGCGCTTTCCCGCAGGCGACTGAGCTCGCTGGTGAACGTCCCGTCCGAGTGTCTCGGGGCCCTGGGGAGGGGTGGCGGGGCCGGGGCGAATGAGGGCCAGGCTGGGGTCGTGGCGCAGAGCCGGGGTCGGGAAGGGGCGCACAGCGCGGGGCCAGGGAGGGTGGACCCGAGGAGCGGCGCGGCTCACCTGGGGGGTGCGGGGAGCGCAGGGCGCGCAGCGGAGCCCCCGAGGAGCAGCAGCAGCAGCAGCAGCAGCAGGGCCGGGGAGACCATGGTGAGCGCACCGGGGCTGCTGAGCGCTGCTGCCCCAGCCCGAGCCGTGCGCGGCCCTTATAGCGGCGTCCTGCGCAGGGCGGGCCGGGGGCGTCAGCACCGCCCTGGCTCCGCACAGCCCCGACCACACCCCATCGATCCGCGGGAAGGCCGGGGCCGCCCCCGCATCTGTCGCCCCGGCTGGCCGCCCTCCCCCAAGTCCCGCCGCAGCGGCGCCCCACTGCCGGCTTGGGGTGGGAGCTCAGCCGGGGGTGGACGGGTGGACCCGCGGGGGCCGGGGGCAGGGCAGACTGGCCTGTGCAAAGTCTCGGAACCTCGGCGCCCGGGGCCTCGGAGGTGGGCTAGGGAGGTTCCGGGCTGGGAGGAAAGGCAAGGCGACCCAGGGCACCCCTGGAGAGGCCCTGGCAGGTGGTGCGCGCGGCTGGGCGAGGGGCAGCGCGGGAGCCAGCGGAGCACCCGCCGGTGCCTCACTGCGATTCACGGCAGAGGAGGGGTGGGACTGGGGGGAGGGGGTGGGGGCGGCGGGGAGGAGCGCCTGGGGGTGCCTGGACATTTGTATTTTCCTAGGCCGCGGAGACCTGAGCCTGTGTCAGGGGCGGTCAGAGGTGGAGAGAGCGGGAGGAAGAGGGGGGCAGCTGGGTCCTGCGGTTTAATCAATACGGGATTAAGTTGGGCTCTTTAAAAGCCTGTACGCATGACATCCTTAAACATAGATTACGAATCTAGTAAATGAAGCCATAAAATGGTAATGCCTGTGTTAAACTTTGCATGCATTTTAAATATAATCACAGTAGTAGACCCTTTTCAGAGCAGATTTAGGCTTCTGGGAAATCTGAGCTGAAATACAGTTCCCTGGGCCGCATCTAGCCTCTCCTATTCCAGCACCTTGTGCTGCTACATTCCTTACGACTGATGGACTGACATTGACACATTATTATTAACTACGTCCACCGTTGACATAGCATTCACTCTTGGTGCTGTTCATTCTGTGGGTTTGGACAAATGTGAAGTGACACGTGCCCTCCATTACTGTCTCATCCGGAGCAGTTTGGGGCCCTAGAACCCCTCTGTGGGGTGCTTGCTCACCCCTCCTCTTCCCTACAGCCACCAAGTGTCACTGTCTTCATAGTTCTGCCTTTTCCAGAGTATCACAGAGTTGGAATCACACAGTATGTATCCTTTTCAGATCCGCTTCCTTTACTAACAAATGTGCAAGTTCCTCCCTGTCTTTTTATGGCTTGATAGCTCATTGCTTTTTATAATATTCTGGATACAATTCCATTATCCACATGGACCCCGGTTTATTTACCCATCCACCCCACCGAAGGACGTCATTGTTATTTCCAAGGCTTGGCAATGTTGAATTAAGTTACTATAAACACCCATGCGCAGGTTTTTTTGTGGACGTACATTTTTAGCTCCTTTGGGTAAATACCAAGTGTAGGGTTGGGGGTTTGGTGGATGAACAAACTGTAACCATGAAGCATGCATTCTCGTGGCCTGGGCAGCCAAGGACCAAAGTTTGCCCGAGAAGAGACAAAGTATGCACGATGGGCTGAACCGCTGCCCTGGAAGTGTCCACGGGTTTATCACCCAAGAGTGTGGATGTGTGTGTTCTGTGTCTCTGCTGAGAACAGCAGCGGCTGCTGGAACAGGAGGAATGCTGGGCTTGGCTAAAAGGTCAGCAGAGACATGATCTCCAGGATTTAATTACCTAAAACACCGTGTAACCTGGGGAACAGCTAAGAGAATAAATGGTGCTGCACTCAGAGATCAGGAGCATTTGCTCCCTTGCGATGCTCCCCCTCACTCCAAGCCCTGTCTGCTTGAGATTCATTGCATTGCAAGGACCCCCGGCAGGCCGAGAGTCGGCAACCAAGGAGCACAATTGCTGGATCGTATGGTGAGTGTGTTTGGTTTTGTAAGAATCCGCCAAACTGCCTTTCAGAGCTTCTGTCCGCTCCATCTGCATCCCCACCTGCGGGGGGCGGGGGGGTTCCTGCTGCCCCCGTCCTCCCGGCAGTGGGGGCTGGCAGCGTATGTTCCCATTACAAAGGATTCTGTAACTGCCTTTACCTCGTCCGAAAGGGCTGTTGCTCACTGTCCCTGCTCCTTAGATTTTCCTGTGTCCTCCCAAAGTCACGCTGTGGCCGCCTCATTAACTCAGTGGCCATGCTGAAGTGTGGACAGAGTGGGGTGGGGTCCAGGGCTTTCTGCGCCCTGTTGGGCAACTGGAACTAGACGGAGATGATTTAACGAGTACTGTACAGCCCGGACCCTGCTTCCCCAGTGTGGACACTATTTAGAAACAGCACATGATACAAGTTACAATGACAGAATTCCCCATTCAGCCCACGGATGTCAGTGAGGAGTTCCCAGGACAGCAACCTGAGCTGGGTCCTTGATTCCAACACCTAGAAAAGTCAGCTTCTGTGAATAGTTATTCAAAGGCTCAGATTGGGCTTCACTCTGTCGGGGATCCTAGTAATGCCAACTTCAGGGTCCCGGACTCTAAGAAAGAATAACAGGCTTCATTTTCCGGCATAGAATGAAGGAAAGAAATTCTCAGCGCAGCTAAGACTTCAGTCCACTGTGACATTTTCATTCTCAGGATAAGCAAAACACAGAAAATATTCCCCATGCCTTTTTTTTTTTTTTTTTTTTTACAAATATATGTTTTATTGATTTTTTTAGAAGAAGGGAGAGGGAGAGAGAGCGAAACATCAATGTGAGTGAGAAACACCAAATCGGCAACCTGGGCATGTGCCCTGACTGAGAATTGAACCAGCAACCTTTTGGTGCACAGGACGACGCTCAACCAACTGAGCCACACCGACTAGGGCCCTGTTTTATTTTAACCAAGATTTAAATGTCAAATTTAAGTTACTTGTATCTGTTCTTAATAGATTAGAATGTGGTGGTAGGACACTTCCTCTCACATTTGTAACCACTCTGCCCTCCTGCCTTCCAGCAGTCACAGACAGCAGAGCCCAGCACCTCATCGGTTATGACTGGGGACGCGTTCATGATAGGAGCCAGGGCTACACGGTAACACAGTGACCTCGCTGTGACCTTAGCAAACATTCCCTGCTTTTTTTTTTTTATTGTACTTTTCTTTCTTTCTTTCTTTCTTTCTTTCTTTCTTTCTTTCTTTCTTTCTTTCCTTCCTCCCTCCCTCCCTCCCTCCCTTCCTTCCTTTCTTATTTTTAATCCTCACCTCAGGACATTTTTGCATTTATCTTCAGATAGAGCAGGAGGGAGAGAGGGGGAAAGAGAGAGAGAGAAACATCGATGTGAGAGAGACACATGGAGTGGCTGCCACCCACACAACCCCAACTGGGGCCGGGGACAAACTGCAACAAAGGTACGTGCCCTTAGTGGGAACTGAACCCAGGACTCTCCGGTCCGTGGGCCGACGCTCTAACTGCTGAGCCAAACTGGCCAGGGTGAACATTCCCCTCTTAAGGACTAGAAAGAGAAAAATGACTTGTCTGTTATTACAGAGAATTTAAACCATACAAAAAGTAGACCAAATAGTATAATGAACCTGCCTTCAACAATTTATGACCAATCCTATGTACCCCATCTCCTCTGCTGAGCCAAACCGGCCAGGGCTCCTTCCTCTATTTTTTTTTTTTTATTATTACCTGAGGATATTTTTACATTTATCTTCAGACAGAGTGGGAGGGAGAGAGAGAAAAAAACATCGATGTGAGAGAGACACATTGATTGGTTGCCACCTGCAGGACCCCAACCAGGGCTGGGGCAGAACCGCAACCAAGGTAAGTGCCCTTGGCCGGAGTCAAACCCGGGACTCTTTGGTCCATAGGCCGACGCTCTAACTGCTGAGCAAAACTGGTCAGGGCCTTCCTCTATTTATTTATTTATTTATTTGTTTATTTATTTATTTATTTATTTTTATTATATTTTTTTTTTTTCCCTCATCCAAGGACATTTTTCCATTTTTTGTACAGACAGAGTGGGAGGGAGAGAGAGGAAAGGAGAGAGAGAGAGAAACATCGACATGAAGGGACACATCGAGTGGCTGCCACCCGCATGACCAACCAGGGCCGGGGACAAACTGCAACCGAAGCACGTGCCCTTAGCGGGAACCGAACCCGGGTCTCTCCGGACCGCAGGCCGACGCTCTAACCGCTGAGCCAAACCGGCCAGGGCACACACACATACTTTGATTCTTGGCTGACCAGGTCATGAGAATGCATATCACAAGGTTACATCTTGTTCATCCACCAAATTCCCATCCCCACAGTCACTCCTTGTACTGTCTTAGTTAAGGTGACGGAAGTACTCTACTATGTTAAGGACAATAATTTTATAAGTCTTAATATCTAATCATTCAAATTCTTTCACCTTATTTTTCTTCAAGAGTGTTTTAGCTATTTTTGACCCTTGGTATTTCCATGTAAATTTTTGGACCAATTTGTGAACTTCCACAGAAAGTTATTGTTGGGAGATTGACAGAAACTGCATAGCACGGTGAGCTCCATTTACAGGTGTGTCCCATGGGGGTTTTAAATGGCATCTCCCCGCTTATTAACAATGTATCTTTTCACATGCTTTGTGGTCATTTGTGTACCTTTTTTTCCATTTTTTGTTCAGATAGAGTGGAAGGGAGAGAGAGAGAGAGAAACATTGATGTGAAAGGGACACATCGAGTGGCTGCCATCCACATGACCAACCAGGGCCGGGGACAAACTGCAACTGAGGTACGCGCCCTTAGCGGGAACCAAACCCGGGTCTCTCTGGACCCCAGGCTGACACTCTAACCACTGAGCAAAACCAGCCAGCACCATTTGTGTACCTTTTTAAGAGAAATGTCTGTTCAAGTCCTTTGCCCATTTTTAAATTTGGTTGTCTTTTTGTTGTTGAGTTGAATTATAAGGGTTCCTTATATAATTTAGATATTAGACTCTTACCAGTCTTTGTTTTTTTCTTCACTCTCTCTTTTTAAAAAAATCCTCACTCGCCCTGGCCAGTTT